GAACTGCATCATGTTTCAAAACACGGTAACAACCTAGGTTTTTTATACCTTTTGCACAGCTCTTGTAATATATGGAATCTTTCATACTTTACATGCTCTTCAGAGTGCCTCTTGGCAGTCTGAAAAGTGCTGGCAGACAAATGATGTTTAAAGATAAAATAAATGTATCAGAGATTAATATTAAAAATAAAACACGACCGTAATTTTATCTTCACGCAAGGTTCTACTAGTCTTGAAGAATTTCCTGGTGTTTACAAGGATGAGCTCACTTAAAAGGTAAGAAATGTAGCCCTTAAAGAACCACAGTTACTCAAGGCTCAAGATTTTTGATGAAAGATTTACAAATTCTGTGTTGCACAATAAATTGCTGCAGAAAACTCTAAAAATTTAAGGATTAATTATTAAATTAAGACATCTAGCTTCTCATTGAACTTGCATGAATTAACAAAATTATTGCAGCAAAAGCTGCACTGAAACAATGCACTGCCTCAGTCCCATAACTAAATAGCGTGACATACTAAGCTTCACACGTGCAAAATAATTATCAAATATAAGACTGTGGCGTTCTGGTTTTGTGTGGTATTCTTTCTAAACGATGATAAAAATTAATCATGAACAGCTACCTCAATTTATCCAACTGGATCAGTGAACAGCCAAGAGTTTTGACACAGCAGTATAAATAACTATACAGAATAACTGAACCACAGAAAAGTCCGTGTTGAAAGGGACTTTGGAGACGGAATGATGCAACCTTCTGTAAGAGCAGGCTATTAGACTGGGTTATCGAAGGCCCTGTCAAGCCAAGTCCAAAGTATTTCCAGCAAGAGAGATTCCACCTCTTTTTTGGGCAGCCTGTTCCAACTGTTCTAAGAAGTTTCTTGCACATATTCAGGTAGAATTTCTCCTGAAGCAATTTGTATCCTTTGGCTCTTGTCCCACCACTGTGCATTTTGAAAGAGAGGATACCTTCACCTTCTCTATCTTTTATTTACTGGAGCAATGTGACTAGATTCCCTCAAGCCTCCCTTTTGTTAGGCTAAACAAAACAAATTCCTTCAGCCTTTTTTTTGTATGTCAAGTCCTTCAACCACACATAATCATCTTGGTGGCCCTCCACCGGACTGTCTCCAGTTTTTCAATGAAGTAAAAATTTTAGCCATCTCTCTGTAACTCTTACAAAAAAGAAAGAGCTGAGTAAGTCACATTAACTTTGCATTATGCCTGTAACATGTAAATGCTAAAATCTGCATCTTTAACTTTCTTTCAATATGCTTTAGAAGCAATAAGAGAACATTATATCTTTACAACTCAAGACTGGCTTAATCACCTATTTTGAGAAGTCAGTGGAAAAATATTCTTGAAAATAAACTTTTTATACCAGTATTCATTTTGCACTAATCTTTACAACTGTGATACACTTGGCAAAGCCTTTGATGATTACAATATGAAGAAACAGTGTTAAAAGTGTTACTGTCAAGAACTTTTGGGACACCAATGTGGAAAATAAGTTGCAACGCAGTTTCACGAAGAATTCTAAGGAACAGCTGCAGATTTTAATATCAAACAAATTAAGTACTGCCAATTTACCTTTAACTTCATTTGAAATGAGCAGCTTATTTTCTGTCTCCTCTTCTTCATACTCTTTGTTCTTTACTGAGTCCCTTGTTTGTAGTACTCCACTGAGGAAAACAAGATGTTCATTTTTTATTAATACATCATAAAAATCACTAAGAATGATGACATGTCTTGCTAACAATTCTATTAACACTCCAGGATTCCCACATAAAGGGTGCTGTATCACCATAAAATAAAAAAAGAGAGGATCTAATTTCTGACTTACACAGATGGCATGACTACTGACATAAATTTTACAATGAAGGCTCAAGAGTAGTGTAAACTAAGATTACGTAAATAGCACCAACACACTTGACTTTGTAACTGAAACTTAAAAATATACAAATTAAGGTAGTGGATGTGTCCATGGCAGAAGACGGGAAGAGTGAAGAACAGGTATATAGCTGCATCTACTAAAAAGACTTACTGGTTATCCAGGCCATGTTCCGGAGCCATCTTAAACAACATCTGCTCCTTTTTCTCTACCCAACCTTCATCTCTACATCACCCCAACTCCTGTACTATACTGACACACCGTTGTGCAGCTGTTAATGATCCCACGGAAAATATCTGTATTCTTTTGTTACGGTTAGCTAAAAGAGCTAATCTTTGCCTGCTAACTGTGGCTGCTCCCTCAGCTTGGCCAGCCCAAACATTTGCAAAGAGGGAATGCCTTCCCCTGTTGAGAAAAATGGGGTAAGAGAGATGGAAAGAAGATAAATTCTTGGAGGGGGTGTGTATATCTTAAAGTCAGCCCCTGGGAAGTTCTTTTTCAAACTCTGCTTTCAGAAGCTACTTCCAGCCTGGTTTCTTACAGAAATTAAGCTTATATAAACCTGCCTGCTGACATTATGTGTGTTTATTTCCTTCTGGTTTTAAGATCTTGAGAACACTTTGGCCAATTCTTACTAAACCATCACAGATGCAGAGCTCTCAGAGATACTAAGTACACAGTTAATGTTTTCTAAAAATAGGGACCAGATAGAAGCATCTTAAACTCCAGACTACAAGAAAGTCCACTACGTGAACTCAGGCTATACCATCTACCACAGAACATTAACAAGAACTGTTTTACAAATGTCCCAAACACAGACAAAAAGCCAAATTAGAGCTAACGCCTTGTTAGACATCAAGACTAGCTAACCTCAAAACAAAAATCCAAGGAGAAACAGACCTGTATAATTCCATCATTTATATTTATACTATTAAATACAATTTATATATTAATTACTATTTATACTGTAAAATACAAATAAGCATCCAGGAATAAATCAGCTAGGTGCTGCAAGTTCACTGACATCAACAGAAATATATTTAACACACCATTAATGGTGTAAAATGAACACAACAAATTAGAAAATCTGTCTCTTGTAGTATGATAGGACAAAAATAATAATGGTACAACAAGCAATGCCAGTGGAATGCACACAGCAGGCATGCCTTCCCGTGCCACAAAGGACTTCTCCACAGTATCTTCCTCAGAAATATCACTTGCATTTACTTGCTTAAAAAGTATTTTCCTAATCTCCACAAACACAGAAAAGTTCTCAGGTAAGATGCTACGAAGTAGTGCAATTAATTCCAAAGCCAAAGTAAAATATTACTGTAAGTCAACATAAGGAAAAGAGATCATCAAAACTTGTGATGAAACACGTATCTTCCTGTTTTCTTGAGGACAATTTTCATAGTGACATACATCCAGAAATTTTATCTCACTAGTTAAATACAAGTTAGTATTGTGAATGAAGGTTTTGGAGAAGGGGTTGGAAGATAAACTCAATTTTCTTGTAAGAGGTAGTACCATTTGATTCCCAAGCCTGAGCATTTACCTTCCTTAATTGTAAGTATTTCCAGAATGGAATTCCTATTATAGTGAAATTCTTTGCTACTCTGAAGTAGTATAAAGATACTTTCAAATTAAAACTGAATATGCTGTGGGTATGTAATTTTTATCTTGAATTTTAATCTCAGGTACATTCCAGAAGGATAGGCTGCAGATTTTACACACACATTTTTGCAAACCAAAATTTTCTAATATAATTGTTTGTATGCACAGATACCTCTTACTAGTTAAATATAAAAGAAAGAAAAGGAGTAAGTGGAACTGGAAATTAGCTGAGTACCATTTACATTTAACACAACAAAATAAATCTGGTTGGCTTCGTATGTGGTTGGTTCCTCAATCAAGGACTTCTATGAAACAGAAGATTAGATGGAATATGAAGGTATACACAACTGTACTGAAGTCAAACATAATTAAATCCACACTACAAGCTCAGCAGCTAAGGAGCAGACAAGTATACATATCTATGCCTTCCATTATGCATGTGAACTTTGAGTACACATCTAAAAAGATCCACTGGGTATTGCAATAACCAGATACCCAATATTTCATAACTCTAGCTGTTCATATATACCCAATGTTGTGAACACTGTTTTTCATGTCTTTTTCAAAGGAAGTTTATTCAACTAAAAGTCCTCTCTGACTATGCTGGATACATAAAGAATGTGGAAGGCTAGCTGATAAAATGTAGATGGCCGTGAGTCTACCCACACAGTTCAAATACAAAATGCAAAGCCTCTGGGTAGTTCAAAGCTGGCACAAGGCTGTTATTCTCTGAATGAAAACGACTCAATGTAGTGAATAGATAGCACAGGTATCGGTTATTTTAGGTCTTCATAAAGATAATATTTGTACATATACAACAACATATTTATACACAAATGCAGGGAAGGATCTCAACTTCCAATAATTTCTCTGCCTCGTAGTATTTTTCCTCTCCTCTCTAATAAACATTTCTTATTTCTTAAATACATTGTGACACTCCATCCTCCCCTATTTCTAATATAAAGACAGCTGAAGAACTTCCATATCCTTCCCCACTGTTTCCAAGAGTTTCACAGACAAATGACTGTACTGCATTGCCTGGTAACCTGCATTTTAAACTGATCATCTCCAAACAACTCATACTCTGAAAGGAACTGATAGTTACCCAGGTGCCTTCTTTTCTTTCACATCACATAACAGGGGCTTCTTGCAAGATTTACTTTCTGCATCTTCCTGCTTAGTTGTTTCTGATACCGTTTTCCCAGATGATTGACTGTGAGCTGAGGATTTCATACCTATGTGACCAGGGCTGGGGCATTTTCCGTCACTGTTTAAAACAAATTAACAAAAGGTTTAAAACGACGAGCAGCTGAGTTGTTGTTCAACTTATTTTCTCAATGGGTAGAGTCATTAGTGTAACTGAAGAATCCGTAAATTAAAATGTAGATAAATAGGCAGGCCCTTCTAAAACCATTCAGCTATGACACAACTACAAATTACACTGCAGAACACTGAAATAAAGTACTGCTGTTAGTCACAGACATTGCTTCAACTGTAATTACTTGATTACAGGAGAGGTGGATCTTTCACTCGATTCCACTTTTCGGTTCCTGGTGACAGGACTGGCTGCAGGCATCTCCCCGCTCAACCGGTCGGGTAAGAGGCTTTCTTTGTTCAAGTTCATCTCTGAATACGGGCAGGTGACTGCGCTAGAAGTTGGAGAAGAGAAATGCCTCCTTATTCTCATACACTTTACTGACTTCACTCAGTTCAAATGAAATTACATCAGAGACCAGTTTTCTATAAGCAGATACAATCAATTTATGTAAAGAAGATCAGAAAGAAATGCAATAAGCAGTCATACTTTAAAATGATAATAAATCCACTGATTAAAAACATTAATCTGTATGTTTTTCATATTTTCTTTTGACAGCAACCTATGTAACACAAATTGTATTAATTTATATTACAGCATACATTCTGGAAAATCACTTGATGAATATTTAGCCTGCTCTTATATCTTTAATGGTACTTTATACATAACATACAGGGTGCCTTTGGCTATACCCAGCTCTCTCCAAATGAAATCGTATTCCCATGGTTATTTTTCCCGCAAAGGAGGGTATTTCTATTATGCACTGTTCACACAGAAGCTGCATTGGAAGGGCACAGTAGGAGGAATGGCATACATCCTCTTACTGCAGCGAATGCCCCACCGTCACAGATGCCATTTTGTGATATTCCATGAAAAGACTGTGACATTTTCAGAGTCTTTCCTGTCATTCAACACTCCCTATTTCACTACACTCCAGCTAGAGAAAGAGAGAATTTGAGACTGTGCTTTGATAGTCATGTCTAAATACTACTCTAACAAATGTGAAAATCATACCCTCTCACAAGAGGTAGGAAAGGGAAAACAGCAACACAAAACACATCGGGCTGAACTAGGATTTTGTCTTCAGAAGAATGCAATGCAATGTTCAACTGATTAGTCAGGCTACATACTCACACTTTAAAGATAATATCACAAATTCTGAAAGGTATATGTATATGCCACAACAGTGAACAACATACTCAGTTTTCAAATCTCTGTTTAAGATATAAGGAGAGGCTGTACTAAACAAAATGTTCTATTTGTGGTTCATGAGCCATGACACTAACTATAATCTAAAATTATGCTTTCTTACTCACCTGTATTATTACATGGACCTCTATAATGGTAAAATGTAAAAAACCCATGCCCTGGGATTTTGTTTATCTTCTTTTCAAGAATACAACTATTGGTCTTTCTATTAACTACTGCAATGTTTTATTTGTTTCAACTGATTGTTACATGCATGACTTCCAAACAGAACTGTCTAATATAAACAAGTCTACCCTGCCAGCCACACACCCTGCCACCTCCAAATTACAAAAACTAAACAGAAAAACAACAGATTTCATTATCACATTCATTTTACAAACCACAGAATTTAAAAAGGCCTTTTATTCAAAATATGCCATACAGTCTCCTTCTCCTCTACTGATGAAGCTTTGGATTCACAGTGTGTAAGAATTAACTCCTATCATGAGATTGGACCAATATTAGTAATACAATTTTGGTCTTACCAACATAAGCAAAAAGTTGGTGGAAATTTACATTTCTCTCAGCACTAGTATAAAAGGAGAAAATTCCTCAAGGCTATACAAGCCAAGTCAGTCAGTCCTTGCTGGAGTTAACGACACACAGTCCAACACCATGTCTGATTTCATCAGTTGGCTCATTCGAAAACAAGATAGTATCAACTTTTTTTAAAAAAAAATCCTTATATAGTTGTGCTGAACTTGAATTATGGAGGAAAAACATGCCAGCAGAATACAATTTCTGCTTTTCTAATCAAGATGAGATCCCTGTTCAAGGCCATGCCAAGCAGATGGTGTTCCACAACAGCCTGTACAGTGTTTTCAAGGGACATACAGCCACCCATCACCAGAGGATCCACACAGAACAGTTATCTTTGCCTTCTTCTGAAGAACTGTGTGGTAGTCCCATCACCTCCTCTGAGATACAGGCAATTTTTTTGACATACTTCATACCAGAAGTCTACACAGCAGAATAAGGTATAGCTAAATGGGTGACTGGACTCCTGAAGCACTACACTTGAAACAGAGCATTTTTTTTGTTAATGAAAGAGTTTTAAAGACATGGAACAGAATATAAGAAGGGAAATTTAACTTTGAGCATTTAACTTTCATTTCTAATTTCTCTTAAGTAGAATATGGCACGTTATTTTGTTTATATACCTCTACTGACATTTATTTTCCAACCTACTGGTTGTCATTCTTAGAGCTAGCCTCTGCCAGACATCTTAAAAGAACAAAACAAAAATGAACTGAGAGATGGGGAAGAAAAGAGGAACACTAGGAAAGAGGGGAAGTTGTTCTGTATTTTCAGTTCTTTATATTGCTGCACCTACCACAATGATGTCTTTTTTCCCTTTCAAATGAACTACAAGACGAAAGATACAGGCTTCTACTTAGAAAAGGGTTTTAAGGAGCCAACACCAGTGGGATTTAAGTTCTTGCTATGACAAACTCATACTCCTGTGATGAAACAGAGTTATCAGAAACTCAGGAATATATTGATTAATCTCAGTTCTGTATCACTATAAGGCAAAGCATGTAATCTTCTTTTGGCTTCCTGTGCTCACAGGGATGTTTAGAGGCTTAGTGTTTTTAAGTTAGAGGGTTGTCTCAAGGAAACACTAAACACTACCAAGGTGGTATTTAACTTCAGTTGTGTATTATTAAACAAGCTTTACACCACAATGAAATCTGACAATACAATTTAATTTCCAGCAAGTCTTCTATTTACCAACACCATTAATTTGTTTTAAATTAAAAAAGAACAAGCCTCTAAATTCAGTCCTTCGTTAGAACCTGCCTGTTTATATACCGCCTTTTCGAGAGAAACAGAAGTCGAATGACAGTTCAGTCAACAATAGTTATAATACTAAAGATGCTTTAGAACACTAGATTCAGATGAGTTTTTCTTTGCAATTAATAATTCCAGTTCCTGTACCATTTTTAAAAAACTCTTTGATAGTCCTTTGATGTTACTATTACTTGGGGCAACAAAAAGAACCCTCAAGGTTTCCGCTGGTAGCTTTGTTTCAACAAAACATGGCACCAATGAACCTGTGTATGAGTTACATGGCTTTGGATCGATCAGTAAATCCTCATGAATCTCAATGCCTCCAGCCTTCAGTTCAGTTTAACTTGTCTTCTACAAAGAATTAAAAATTAACCTTGTTATTCCTACATAACATAAGTATTTGATTTAAACAGGACTGTAAGTTTTAGAGACAACTCATGTCAAGGGCTCAGAATTCTTGATGTTTAGGTTATTTAACACTAAATAAGGATTTTTAACTCTTCTATCAACTTAAACCTGTATTTCTGCTCCAGCTTGCAGTTTGCCGTAGCACACTATTTTGAAAACAGCACAAGTTCAGAAGCCAGTTTCCAAGATCTGTCTCATGGAACAAAAGTTATCAAGGTAGCACGTCCCATTTGTGGTTATTCTGCAACTGCTCTTCTACGACTCTCACAATCTATTTCTAGGTAGGGTTACACATGTATCTTTTTACTCTCTAAAGTCAGAGACAAACTGGGCTACTGATGGGTAGACATGGAACTTTGTGTCCTCCAGACATCTGGAGATGCTCCTATTTTCTAGCAGTATGCAAAGTTCCTGAAGCACACAGTCCAGCTGGATTACTCGGACTCAGCTAAACCTAACATCAGAAAGGAAGATAAGCCTTAACCTGAAGAACATAACTCTCTTAGCTGAAAAAGAGCAGCAAGGTGGTACTCTGGTAAAAGAAAGTTAATAGTGAAGTGTTTTTTTAATATAGGTTATTAGCCTTTATGACTGCTTGGAATATTTTGCAAACCTGTGTGAAGCCACAGACAAGTCTCTGGTTTAGCTGTACTGGTTGGAAATGTTACCAACCCCAGTTGCTCATGGCCTTTCAGGTGCAGGTTGTTGCCAGACACCACCAGGGGATGAGACTGTACAGCAGCTCCAGAAAAATTCACACTGATTTGCTCAACTATCCTCCTTGATGGGTTACAAACAGACTGGACTACCTGATGGATGAGACTTTATCTAGAGCATCTTATGTCCAGATGACCACATCTGCTGGTAGTGATGTATGATTAGTAAGAAACTTCCAGCAAAAAGGTCCTGGTAACACCTGGGGGATGTATTATTTTTTCTGCTGGACTTGTGTTAAGTGATGTCTTTACTTCAGTTGACTTCATTAAAACATTTTTAACTAGTCTGGAAACAAATGATACAAATGTTCTCTTTCTCAATTTACAACATGCTTATCATCAAAGCATTCTTTCTTAGGAGAAAGCTGCTTCAGCAGTCTAAACCTGACTCAAGAGTAGCTTATAACGGATTTGGCTGGGGCCAATGACCTTACATAAAAGATAAAACGAAACTTTAGACTGGCATCAAAATCAGAAGAGAATTACTTCAGCAGACACTGAATGAACGGATGTGACATCCCACTAAGGTCTCCCATGTTTCAGCACTGTGGTCTCTTTTAACACAGACTCCATCATGGTGCATTCAGCTCGCTTCAATTTACACATAAAGGACGTAAAGTTTCTGGTAAAAATCTTTATTCATGGATAATTGACCCAGACCACTAATGATGTGATTACAACTGACTGCTCTGCATTACTGCTTGAACTTGAAAATTATTGCATGCATTAAACACCAGAGAGTAAACAATTCACAACTATAAATATGCAGGTGATCTCCATAATGCTACCAATCTGCACATCAGTCTCAGTTTCAACTGTGCAGCACAGAATCCTAGATCAACTGGTGATAGATACCAAGTCCTTACTAACATCAGCTTTTCCAAAAAGTAAAAGCTTTAACCCCACTACATAATTAATCACCAAGGCTTTCATCTGGTTCCTAAGGAACAAGCTCTGAAAATTATTTCAGAACTACTTAGCATTTTAAATTATCTTCTTCTTTGCACACAGGTATTTATGCTGTAGATAGACGTTGTGCCTCATAATGAAAAAAAATAAGCATGGTTAAATACATTTCAAGGTTGCCAAGATAAAAGAGCCAAGAGACCGCTACCTGATGTGGATAATTATACCAATTTCAAAATGTCTTTGTTAATTCAGGAAAAAAGCAATGGTACAATGTTAAAATTTTTGGGGTGACCTGGACCCTCAAGTCTGTAAACTCTATATAAACAACAAGTTTCAATATTTCCCTCAGAAATGCTCAAGAAAAACAATCACAATAACAGCACAGAGGCCATCCAATGTAGTTAGTGAGTAACATACTTAACAGTGTTAATTTATTTGCTATGAAACAGCAAATACCTGTCTTATGATCAAGAAAATCTCTTTGGTTGTATTTTTATTCCCTATAATGACCAGTTCATGTGCAAATAATAGAATTGCTAAGACGATAGTAAAAATAAAACACAATAGGTTGCCATGAGTTCAGTTATTTTCTTAATATTCAGAATGAGTAAGTATAACAACTTTAAATATAATGGAAAATCTAGTTATAAAAGCAAAGGCTACATGAACTAACTAGACATACAGCTCCTACTCATCCCTTCCCTGCGAAACATTAGCAGTTTTAGTGCCAACGTTTATTTAGAGAGATCAAAAATTAAAAACTTTTCTGACACATTCCTATATGGTTTCTTTTTCTTTTTTTTTTTCTTTTTTTTTTTTTTTTTTTTTTTTTTTCTTTTTTTTTTTAACGTTTCAGCCTTGGGCTAAGAATGGGTATGTTCACCTGATTTTGAGTAATTGAGATAGTGCACGATAAGGAAGAGAACGATCTGAAATGGAAGTTATTGTCCTGCAGATCAGCTGCATTAATAAACCACACTACACTCAGCTTACTGTAATATGAAGTTAAATGGCTTTCAGCTAAGCAACTAGGAAGCTTTTTAGGCAAGCCTAGCTTACTTCACATTCGCAGTGGACTAAGAACAGTAGGTTACCATATGCTAACTGAAGTATGGTAACCTCTTACGTACTACCTTGACTTGAGTTATCCTGCTGACTGAGTACAACAAAGCTGCTCAAAAGGGAAGGTAGAGAAACTGCAAAAAATAAACCAAAGAAAAAGAACATGGACAGAAAAAGACAAAAGGAAAAGGGTGAGAATAATCTGAAAGACAGCAATGCAGCATACTGTGTCATGATAACACCACCACAGTTCATAATGCAACAGGTTTTATCACTGGAGCTAACCTAGGCACAATCCCTCCTGGAGAAAAAGCTTGTACTAGCGACAGGATTTCTTCTGCCTCCTGACAACACAAACTACAGCCTCTGCTGTAGATGGGAAAGAACTTCTTGCAGCAAAAGATGCCTTTTGCACACTAAACTTAAAACAACACAGTGAGTGTTGCTGGCAGGTATCTTAGCTGGGGATGAGTCAGGACTTCAGCCACTGCTGATATGCCATCAAAACATTGTAGCATAATTCTATCCAACAGGACATAATTTTTCCACCAAAAACATGAAAATATTGCAGAGATAACTCTTGGATCATGGTAGTTTAATAATATACTTAAAAAACATGAATAGACAGATAACCGAAGGTCAATTATCTAACCATACGAGAGCAGAAAGCACAAAGTGATAGGACATTCGAGGACTGTATGACTATGAAATGGAAAAATTCCAAGAAAACTTTTGGAAGCTCTAATTTGCAAAAAGGTAACAGGAGGATATTTGTGATACTTAATTCTCAACCTAACATGTTATACTAACTGTATATCCCTTAATGAAATATTCAGGATTCACCTCATACAGTAAATACTTTAAAAATAATAAAATTTTGACTTAGTCAAGTAAATGTTTCCCATTTACTCTGTAATTGTCTCTCTGTCCCCCACTCCATTCTCCCACGCTACGCTCTGCCTGTATCAACTCTGCTCTGGGACAACTTGGGATGTCCATATCGCCGTATCATATTTCAGAAGGTGTTCAACAAAAGCATATTTAGAAACACTAGGTACAACAGCAAGTTGTTCAGGCTGTCATTCAGGAATACGTCAATCAGAATTTCCTTTTTAGCATTTTTCCAAGACAACAAGCAAATACTCACCCCTACCAACCAAACAGAACAAAACCATCTAAGCCACAATAAAATTAGTGGCCTCATATTTCAAAAGGTTCAAAAGTTACTGCTTTATACATATCTGTCTGCAACATTTTGTGGTCCAAGCAGCAAGCCAATGAATTCTCATAGGAACAAAATACAGAGTAATTGAATCTATCAATTGTGACAAAACATAGTGTCTGACAAATCTTATCTCAGCACACCCTGGCGAAATGAAGTTACAGATTGCTGATGTTTATTTCAGCATGCTCACCATGGCAACTGAAATCATTGCATATTTTGGTTTACAAGATTTCGCATTTTCTTCCAGCTCTTAGATTTGTTTTCTTGTGAACAACAATTAAAAAAACCCATGTGCACACATCACTCAATTGAAAGAATAAAATTACAGCTTCATAGCACATACCTATGATGGCCAATATGTCTTGCTCTTTTAACATGCCCAACTCCTTTACATCCTGCTGTGGGACACCCTCCATGCTCTAAAGCTTCTACCAATTCCAAGGGACCTGCATGTCAGGGGAAATTACAAATGAGATCTTAAAAAAAGTATCTAATCTTTACAAGTTACATAAATATGTAGGAATACCAGAGTATCATAGTAAACATGAAGAAAAAAATATGTAAACAAAACTTAACTTTGAAGTACTTTAAAAATGCATTCTGCAAGACAGCGATGGAGACTCAAACAACCTAATCCACTGGAGAAATAATTTTATTCTGTGTGAGCAAATCTCTACAGGAGAGCTACATCTATATATACAGAACACAAATCTTGGAGGAACTGTATGACTTCAAATTTCTCCTACTAACTACGTGTAGTTGGAACCTGTTTGTTTTGCAAGAGCACAGACAAAGTAAGTTGCCCTGATGATCCTGAAGACAAGGATCTGTTTGTAAGGGGTACTGACCTTCTCCATTTTTAGCTCAAGTTTTCCAGTGAACAAGATGTGAAAACAAGGGCCGAAAATACTACTAAAAAGAACAAGCTATCAGAAGCTTTTTGACATTTTTACTTATTTGAATTTTTGTGTCTGATTTTCATCAACCTGTAACGATGCCTGTAGAGACATGAAAGCATGTAGTTGTCAAAACTAGCTTTGACACTGAAGCAAACATAGTATATAACCCATAGTTTCACAGCAAGTGAGAGACAGAGGTACTTCAGCATACGAAACTCAGAACACCTCCTGCATTTCTGCAAATACGCAATACCTTTCCAGTACTGGTTTTACTTGGAAAGTACATGAACTTGGATCTCCCCCTACAGATAACAATACTGACATTAAAAAAGTCTATTTAAACAAGTTTTCCTAGATGAAAGAGAATTCCTGCTTGCAGACGGATAATGAAAGATGGAGAATTGTTATGTATCATCAGGACAGTCCAAAAGCATTTTTTTAACCAGTGTTCCACCTATGCTGATGTTACAACACAATGACTTCACTTAAGTCCAAAGACTTCTGTAGGCTTTAAAATGTTGTAAGGGATGAGAGAACAGAGAATTTTAGTGTAACACATTAGTGGACTCAGAGGAAGAGTTAACTGAATAGGGATGCTTTTGTAAAGGGACATCATGACTCACTGGCTTTGGCTCTGCAAAAAGCTCTGGCTTTGCAAAAAGCAGCTGCCTACAAATGTTCTTCCTTCACTTAAAAAATTCAAACTCTCTAAAAATGTACTTTAAAAGAGCTACAACTGGCTGTTCACGTTCATGCAAGAAAGTGCTGCTTGTGTCACTGTGAAGCAATACTAAAATCAGCACCAATATATGGCTCTTAATTCCCTATCTACTATCAAAAAGGTCATAATCTATCATGATGACTTCACAACATCTTATGAGAAAACACAATGAATACATAAATATTGGGAGCATAAGACCATTATGATGACTGCTCTAGACTAATATTGCTAACATTGCACAGCAGTCACACAAAGCTGCTGGTGCTAAAGACAGGTAGCTGGATCACGTAATTAAAAGGACCATCTTACTGAGGAAAAAAACATTGTGTCTTTCAAAATATTTTCTTCCCTCCTTCTGAAATCCTTTCACAAACCTTAAAATGCACTTTAACCAGCTCTGAAATTATACTAATATTTTTATGGTATTCTATACCACATTCTACAGTAATAATACAAAGCCATATTGTTAGAAGAAGATATTACGCAGTAATAATCCTATTTTAATAGTAATTGTGCAGTTCATTATTCTTTTTCTATTTAATGGATGGTCACTTTCCCTCCTGTCACATTGTCCATCTTCATTTTTGTAGCTTAACTAGTATCACAAAGTTACTTCTACCATGGACCTGCTAAAAGAGATGAACAGTGCCTCCTATGCCACCACCCAGAGGAGATGATGTGTTCTCTGTGACGGCATTTGTATTTTGTTTAGTTCAATGTCTCCAACAAAATTAACTTATGCATTTTATACTCCCACCTAGGTTAAGATTTTATTGGGGTTTTTTTGCAATGCTAGGTAATAGAAAGGTCACAACCTTATTCAGCTCTTTTGCCATATGATACGATTTTTACTTATGTGGCCACAAGCTACTTTTTCCCACTGGACTGTTCCTTCATTCAGTACACAAGATGCACACCTCAGTTTAAGAAGCAGTTATGCAGCATCCTATCTTCTCCTCATTATTCACTTTGTGCTTTGGCACTTACGGCACTCTATTCAGACTCCACTTGGAAGACAGAATAATTAACTTCCTACCAGGAAGTCATCACTGTACCAGTGGAGTGCTCAGAAAACTAATGAATGGTCTTGACAGAAGACACTTCCTCTTGACATTTTAGAGACGCTGAATTGAGGTACAGAGATTTTCAGGTAACATGTTCACACAATCTGTGTGTGCCTTATCCCAGTTATTTTACATTTAGTTTTTTCAGAGTACTTAGCATTGCCCAGCATTTTTTATTTTCCAAGCACAGACAGCTCTTTCTGATCTGTTACAGCTGTGAACACCTCAGCACTTTGGCAAACCATACCTCAAAGTCACAACATAAAACAATGCCACAGAAGAGCACTCACTTAAAAATGATCTGTCCAAAGTGTGGCTAAAGTGATTTCACTACCATTATCCAGAAACACAATGGCATAGGCAGAGATATCTTTACTACAAAAGGCTTTTATCCCTGTAACCTTCAGTCTCATTTATGACAGACCTCCCACTTCTTCAAGTAAGACAAAATCCCCAGAGAAGGCAAGCTGATAAATACAGTATTATTATTTGCACCTCAGTTCTGTTAGATTTGTCTTCAATGTGGGCACTATTAACCCTTTTTTGTTCAGCTGAGCAAGAAAAGAAAGTCATCTGGTTTTGAGGATTTGCCACAGCATTTGAAGGGAGTGCCTTCTCAGTGCAGTCTGGACTCCTTTGAGCTTAAAAGTACACAGACCTTTGAGAGGATGTTGACAGAAGATTTTAAGAGAGATACCCTATCCCTACTGAGTGCCACAGCAGTTTCATCACTGACTTTGAGAGGTCTGGGATTTCATGCAACGAATCTCTATCATTACTTCAGATTCTGACTGTAGCTCTTACGCATACAGAGAAACAATGTATTTCCATTACAGTAAGGGTCAATAAAGTTATCTACTAAAAAGTGATTAATTACTGACTGTTGATTTTGCACTAAATGTCACATTTACATTAATTTGCATATCCTATTTCCTACCTCTCCTTGGACAGCACTGGCAGGGAAAAAGTTAGCATCATACATGTACCTTTTAACATCATTACATTATAATGTGATTTCTCTTACTAAGTGGGGGCTGAAGAGGGTGTCCGGTTTTTGTACACCAGCCTGCAGGATGGATATCAGGGCTATCTACATCAGTCCAATAATCATAAATACTATCCCAGCCATCAAAATGGACCTAAAATCAAAAAGGAGAACAATGCATTTTTTTAGATCAGAAAAATTCTCAATAAAATCAGTTTTCCTAAGTAGTCTCTAAATGACATGTCCATTAGAGAAGTCACTTTAAGAGAACTATCAATGTTACACAGAAAATACATGTACATTAGATTCTGGATCCAGACATACTTTGTAAATACTGAAGTAAAGACAGAGGTCTCATTAGGCTGTTTACTGTTTTGGATCATCAGGCCAAAATCCCAAGAATAAAGTAGGCAACTTTGGTTTGCACATTAATACTTAAATTAAGCATGAATTTCTGCCTTTTTTGTCTTTCAAAAAACCCAGAAATCCAAACATTTTAATCTCCTGTTTGAACACGATTTAATAATAGTAGAGCAGTAAGCAAAGGCCTGAAAAAATTGCATTTATCCATTAAAAAAAACCAAAAAAAATCCACCCCAACATATAAGTAACAATTTTACTAAAACCAAATTATACAAGATAATGAGTTGAAACTGAAGAGAAAATGAAGTATGTGACTTCCCAGAAAACCACCAGTATGGGCTACACATGTATTTTTTTTTCAAGTGAAAGCTAAATATCTTCAAATTTTACTTGACCTCTGTACTAGCAAATAGCTCAGATACGCACACATGTGGGTGCACATACACACATATACGTACAAACAGAGCTCTTTCAACATATGCTACGGAGTCAAATTAGAAGAATCCTAGAAGCTACGGCTCCTGTCATTTTAATAAATTAGACTGGAGAGGGCTTTTTGTCTTGGTTTGGTTGGTTTTGTTTTTTGACCAACTTAAAGTTTAGACAGAAAATGTGTAGGTGTGATGACATTAGTTGTGATGACTCCCTACCTCTAGTTAATTCAGATTCAAAATGAAACGTCAGCTGCATTTCCTGCTTGAAATACCACGAATGCCTAATAAATCTCTACAAAGTGCAAATACAAATATCCTTCATATCCGTCTAACTGGATACCTGGAATATGTTAGCCCTTCTAACAGCTAAGGGTTTCAGAGACTGAACTGGTTTTGTACAATAAAAGAAAAATAAGTCAAGTATAAAACTTCTGGAAAACTGCAATTTCTTAAAAATACATTATCTGAGATTAATCCAATCTAAAGTCCATAATGAATATAAACTTCAGAATTGCAGAAGTCACTGACAAGGTAAAAGAGATCAGGGTTCTTTTCTTTTATCTTCTTTATATGTCTCTCCTCTTCCTGGACGTTTATAGAGACAGATTCAATTAACCTAAGGCAATGATGAGAAGCTGGACATGAGCCAGCAGTGTGTGCTTGCAGCCCGGAAGGCCAACTATGTCCTGGGCTGCATTAAAAAAGGGGTGGTCAGCAGGGAGAGGGAGGTGATTCTCCCCCTCTACTCTGCTCTTGTGAGGCCCCATCTGGAGTACTGTGTCCAGGCCTGGGGTCCCCAGCACAAGAAAGATGTGGAGCTCTTGGAACGGGTCCAGAGGAGGGCCACTAAGATGATCAGAGGGCTGGAGCACCTCTCCTATGAAGAAAGGTTGAGGGAACTGGGCTTGTTTAGCTTGGAGAAGAGAAGGCTCCTGAGAGACCTCGTTGCGGCCTTCCAGTACTTGAAGGGAGCCTATAAACAGGAGGGGGAGCGACTGTTTACAGGGGTTGATAGTGTCAGGATGAGGGGGAATAGGTTTAACCTAAGAGAGGGGAGATTTAGCTTGGATATTAGGCGGAATTTTTTCACACAGAGGGTGGTGAAGCACTGGAACAGGTTGCCCAGAGAAGCTGTGGATGCCCCATCCCTGGAGGCGTTCAAGGCCAGGCTGGATGGGGCCCTGGGCAGCCTGCTCTAGTGGTTGGCAACCCTGCCCACAGCAGGGGGGTTGAAACTAGATGATCTTTGAGGTCCTTTTCAACCCAGGCCATTGTATGATTCTATGATTCTACGAAATATCTTATGGGCCCTAATACAAATATCACAGCAGCCTTCCGACACTGATATTAAATCACATTTCTTGATAGAATAGACAACTGGTTTACATCAACTATTCCCAAAGCAATTTTTGAACATATTCAACTCTGCTCTCTAATTGCCTACATCAGCAAATGTAACTAAGAGGATAATAGAGCAAGCCCTTCCAAAGGAATTATATGCATATTAATCAGTGAAAAGGATGAGCAAAAGCTTAGCAGGACAAAGCAATGTGACTCATTTGTTCCTGTGCTTAATTTACCACTACGGGATTTTGGTTTTCCAAAGTACTCATCACTCACTCAAGCACAATAGCACAGTAAGACAGAGAAACTTACTTTTATTCTGTAGTCATCAGTATCTACAATAGTTGCTACTCTGATAAATACTGGATTTCTCTTGTCAACCACTTCAAGTTTCATGTTTTTCTGAAAGCCATGAGAAGGTTTCTAGAAAAGAAGAATAATATCATGTGAAACAGCAGAAAACCTCAAAAATCTCACACAATTGTAAAGTATATAAAACCCATAGCAAACTTTCTGCCTTCATTTTCTCAAATATGTCTTCCCACTTCAACAAATACAAGCATAGAAAGATCATTCAAACAAGTGTTATTACACTAAAGAAACAAAGCAACTACTTTGGGCTTCCAGGTTCTCAAGCCTTCCAAGCAAGTAATCAGGGATCTTTATTTTCAACCAGTTGTTTTTTTTTCCTGAATTATCCATAAAGGTTTTCACAGAGATTTTGGAGAAAAGTTTCAACGTAGTATTGAATGAAGTATTACATATCAGAAGCCTGAAATATCTATGAAATTGTCCACAGGAAACATATTTGTGTTTTTTTAGTATGTGTTTTTGCTTTGTGGATCAAACACTTTTTATGTCTCCTACGGAAAACATAACTAATCCATGGTATAACAGTAAATACTCACAACAGGACCAAATACTTGTTCTGTCATACTATTTTGGCCAAAAATGGTGTCCTTGTTCGGAGAATCAGATTTTATCTTTGCCATCTACAGCTATGAAATCTAAAAAAATTATTTCTATTTTAAAGGAACATATGCAGAAGACATGCTATGGTTTTTATTTTAGATTTCTAGGAATATAACGTATCTGCCTCTCTAAGAATTTCCAGAACATTGATGCTTTTTCCTCAGCCAGAGCTTAAGATCCCCATTTTCTCCCATAACATAGTATAAAATACCATAAGTTTCTTGGGAAGACTTCACCCAAACTCCAACACAATAAGCATTTTATTCCCATTAAATCTGCTTTCTTATTGTTTATCACAATTAGCAATAATATGGTTACCATTGCATTAGCACAGAAAGAAGGGAGGGGATTTTCTCTGCCTGTGAAACCAAAAGGCAGAGCACAGCTAACCTCCATGCAGTCAAGCTCTGCTTCCCCTCCATCCTCAAAGCCAGATGGCCTTGTCTAAGCCACCTACACCATCCGCAGCCGCTCTGTGCTAGTATTGTTTCTGGAACAGTGCTGAGCCATGCCAGCTAGCGCTCTCCCAATTTAATGCTGTCAATACCTGTACAGCTGTGGCATGCCTGCGAGCCACTGGTGGGCCATTCCCACTTCCAAGCCCTGCAGGGTGGCTGTTCCCTGAACCCCAGAGGGAGAAAGTAAAACACAGATACTCTGAGAGAGAAATAAAATGTTTGCTTTTAGCTTGATATAGTCAAAGTCACAGCCCTCCACTGTTTTGTCAAGGACTACACCTCTCAGATATAACCAAATAGCTGCCTAATCCTTGCTCCAAGTGTTCTTGCTAAGAATGTTAAGATTGTGACATGATACTTAGCCAGACGTATTTTGGGGTGATAAACTGCAGGTCAGTAATAAACTTTGGTGATCTATTGATGCCAGGAACTGCTATAAGCACATTTCTGCTTTCATTAATCCAGCTCTTAGCAAAGTATAATTCAGAATTAGTGACCCTAATCTGAAAAGATGAAGCAAACCAGCTCCAGTGCGCTGTGAGACAAGGGGCCAGGAGCTACCAGCCATCTGATGTTGGTTCCTAACAGGGATTCTTTCTGCATTACTGACCAGTCTGCTTTCCTCATTGAAATCCTAAGAGCACAAGAAAGATGGTTGTCACTGTAAGAAACTACCAAGTACAAAGCTAAAAGAAAAGGATGTTGTCCACAAACACCATAGTTAAGCTGGAAAGCTGCCTGGGGATGCTGCCCATGCACCCTACTCACAGGCTCGAAGAAAAAGTCTGCTGAAGGATATTAAATACAAACTCTCTCTTGGCTGCTTCCACAGACAATGGAATAGATGGGCAACCAGACTGATCCCCTACAATCTTTTTTTACATTCTTACTGTATTTTTTCACCATTTAAAATGTACAGACAGAAATACATATGTTCAAAATATGTTATGATGACTCAGTTGCTATCTCATTGCTTCTAATAACTAGGCAGTAATTCCCCATAGCAAATCACATTAATTAGTAATATCTTGTAGCATTTAATCCCATTTATGACAATTAAAATAATGAAGTAATAGTGATTTATAATAATTATCTAACAGTGAACTGCAAACTTGCATAAAAATAAACCATCTATTATGCAACTAATTAACTGGATACATTTGGAAACATAGGAATACCATGTATGTATTCTCTTCCTAAACTAATGAATTATATGCACTTAAAAGCGTGAAGGAAAAAAAAAACCAAAACATCTTCTCACCACTTTAAAAGCCCTTGCAGGTGCAGGTAATGAACTAGTTTCTTCCAAATACTTCTCCCAAGAAAAATGTTTAGCATGTGGATAATCTGGCACAGAAGAAATATGAGAAAAATTAAACATTGTAGTGCAAAAAATAAAACTGATGTCTAATTTACAGAATGCCTAATACTATCATAATACTGTTCTGATTTATGCTTCAGATTTATGAAATAATTCCAAGAAAGGCTATTCTAAATTGTCTCTGACACATTCACCGTGTAGGTTAAAAACCTCAACAATCTTTTCATACATAATACTGAGTACCTAGCAGAAAAAAATAACAGTTGGTTTAGAGAATATAAATAATGTGTACTGGAAAAATCTGTCCACTTAATTCAAGAAATGCATTCAAGTGTCATAAGCCTATCCTGTATTTTATGAACAGTAATTTACTGGCAAACACAATCTAATCAGTGATAGCTTTGTACCACAGCAGAGCATACCTGACTACTTGCTATTCTTATAGTGAATTTGTTTTAACTAAATCTCTAGAAGAGTAGCCTGGACGTTTACTGTAAGAATAATTTACAGACATCATCAAAGAAGATGTTGCCTTTGTCAGAAAGTGTCAGGTTTACAAACACTTTATGCAAGAAACACAAAGATAGCTTTGCTCTTAAAGAAAGGGCAATGCCTGTCCTTCTGCACTAGAAGCTTAACTTGAAGTTTAAACATTATGATTAATAATCTAGAACAGACTGAAACTAATTTTGATGTTTTAAAATGGATTTCACTGAATAATAGGCTGTAATTAACCTCCTGACAGACAGATTGCTTACAACTTTTCAAGACTGGTGGGTATTAGAATTTCTGTCAAAGTTGGTTTTAAGCAATTAAAATTTTCCACATTCTCAGACCACAGATGGCAGTTTCTGCAACAGAGTATTTAGGTCATGTACCTATACACAACAATCCTGAAAAAATGTGGCCTTCTTATATTGCATACTAATGAATACACTTTCATCCTTCTCTATCATCTCTCTCATTGTGTTTTCCTCCCTTCCAAAGAGCCCTTACAAGTTTGATTCCTTGATCACGTAAGGCAATCTTCTCATCAAACCATTATTTTGCATATTTAGTTCACATTAAGATGTTTTTCTTATGTAAGAATCTCACAAACCTGGAATTTGTCTTATCAGCATTTTCACAGTCCTTAGAAGTCTTAGAATAAGTGAATACATTCGTCCAAAAATACAAACTTGTTCAGATTCCAAGGGGTATCTTTAATGAACAGATGTCTCTTTACTAAAGCAGAATACATGTGCATACTTAACACCTAATGTCTATTGCACTTCTACTTTCAATATATTATGTCATGTAAAAAAAATTAGAACTCTCAAAATACCAATTCTTAATTACAGAAAGAAAAAATCAGGAGAGGTAACAATAAGCTTACTGTAAATTTTAATGCTGGTAGCTGACTACAACCTTCCTAAATCTTTCAGATGTGTAATAAGATACAGACCTGGTGGGGTGATGAGAGTTCTTTTATGTTCTTTACACCATCCAACAGGATGAATATGTGGGCTAGCTGCCTCACACCTGGAGAATGGGGAGAAAAAAGGGGACTGATAATGCAGTCAGACATCCTATTATTCTTAGAAAACAACACATACAAAAAAGATTTAACAAATTCCAAACAACCTATGACATCTTCAACTTATTAAACTGCAAACATAACTTGAAGATATGAATGCATTTAGCACAGACTTGTTACAACCTAAGAACCACATGGTTTTATTTACAATTTCACTGGAAGATCAAAAAAACCAAGTCCTTTAAGTCAGTCATCAATCTCCATTGAGAAGCTACAATGCTGGACCTGAAAAATTCACATGTTGGCTGGTTGCAAGAACACAGTAATCCCAGCAAAGACAGATGGGGTTTTGCAATGCCAAGACGGAAATTTTAAAGCAAAAGCTTAAAGACCTTGACTAATGATCCAAGTTGCACCTGGCAGCAGACTAGAAAATCATGCATAACTGCAATGCACTGTCAACAACAAGTAAAAATTCAAAATCAGAATCTGAGTGGTTCAAATGGAGCTATAAACACATTATTATAACCCATCAGCACATAAGCAAAGCACATCTGAGAAAAACTGACAGCAAAAAAAGAACAAAACAGCATTTTAGGCCTCAAACTGCCTGAAAGAATCCAGAACTAATCAGTGATCCAAGCCTACAAATTGCTCTAAAAAAGCTGATCAAACTCTCTTACTCAAGGGACTAACAACTTCCCATATTTTCTGTCATGTGCATCAAATTGTGTGCTAGTGCTGTTGCCTGTGGCATGCCACAAGAACCACAGAAGACTAACAGAGGCAGGGTAAGCTACATTTGACACATGCTGGCATCAGTCTGAAGCAAGGGGAGATTGCCCTCACTGTGCTCACTGGTTCAGCTACATCATGCTTAGAAGAAAGTGGCAGTGAATGCTGCCCATCAAGTTCTGTTAGCAATACAAAAAAAACCCAAAAAAAACCACACACACTGCAAAAACATAATTCATATAAAAGCAGATGAGAGAAAAACTGTTTAAATATTCTGTATTATTAAATTATTATATATAAGTATATAGCGCTATTGCATTATTATTATTATATATAGAACTATATAACTTATTACATATTATTATATTCTTTCATAATATAATACTTTATATACAATATAACATACAATATATATAATATATAATGTATATACTATATTATTACTCAATATTATTACGAAAGGCAAAAAGTAAGACTGATCTACAGGGAAAGTAAAAAGCCATCGGACTCTGCTGTGAAACATGCACCATCCCTATGTTTGCATCAATACTTAATGATTGGTTTTGAGTTGGCTGAACAATTAACAGTGCTTTTTAAAGAAGTAGACAGTACTTATGCAGTCAGGGTGACTAAGGAACATCACACTGACACAAAAAGCTAGCGTTTTTCTGCATGGCACTACACTACATTGTGTGAACATACTGTTTGCCTCTATTTAGCTGGAAATTCAATATAACCATGTGATTCCCATGTAGATCTGTCCTTAGGGACCTCACTTCTCTTAAGAGCCTGTCCCACCTAATTTCTTCTTTAGTTAGATAAATTCAATATTACAGCGCACACTCTCTCTCTTCCACTATTTCCTAACCCTAAAGGTGCTTCAGTAGCTGACATTAAATATTCCCAGCTACGCACCCTCTCTCTTCTGGAGAATCCCATCAGTGTCTCCATCTCTCCAGTGGCAATGAGCCCAGTGCCTTACTCACTCCAAGGACCCACCACGGCCAACAAACTGCAGCCTGAGTAAAGCCTCCATTCCCCATTCCTCAGGGAGGGATCCAGAAACCAACCTTACACAGCCATGTGGTAGTCTACATAGAAACACCCTCTCTCCCTTAAGGAATGCTGCTTTCCAAACATTCCTCAAATATTTAATGAGAAAAGAAGCCAAGCAGAGAGCATCCATGCATAAAGACATGTACTTCATATGGAATAATCATTGCATAAAATACTGAAACACTCATTGTAAACCAGTTGCTACTTAACCCCTCTCTGAAGTCAATGTCTCAACCGTTAGGCTGGAGAGTATTCTCTCCATGTCCTCTCAGACCAAGAGTTACTAATGCAAAATACATGAACAGTGGGTCTGTTCTCCCCAATTGTTGTAAAATAATCACTAACTGTATCTACCCAGGAAGTATTAGCATACAGGAAGTTCATATTAATTAAGTTCCCCTAATTAGCAGTACTAATTTATATTTCTATTTAAATATCACATGTTGATAATCTGTAATGCATAAGAGGATGCAATGAACTGTGCATGACAGAAAAAGAAGTTGAAGGTAAATTAGTAGGCATCTGTCTTGGGTCAGAGCCGTCACCGCACGGTCACTCCCTCCCCTCCCCTGCCCACCTTTCCCCCTCCCGGTAAGATGGGGAGAAGGATAAAAAAAGAAAAAGAAGGGTGTAACCTTGTGAGCTGAGGAAACGACAGATTTTTAATAATACAACACGAGAAAAGAAGAATGCAATAATAAGACAGGATATAGGATACAATGAAAACACTGATACAATGGAAACTCTTTACCGACAAGACGCTTCACAAAGACCCCGCACCCCTCTCCCGGCTAGCTTCCCCTTATATCCCTGGCATGAGGTCAGCATGGTATCTAATAACCCTTTGGCTACGCCCACCTTCCAGTTTCTGTGAAAAAAATTAACCCTATTCCAGCTGAACCCAGGACAGCACCCTAATGTCTTAAGCTTCAGATCAAAATGCTAGGCCTGCTGCCTTTGAACACAAACTTGCTTTAAGGATTGCAAAAGAAAACACAGCATGGAAAAGACTTTAGTCTGAACCCTGGGTTACTATCACATTGCAGTTTTGAACCTGTGCTGCATAAAAGAAAAATGAAGGAGCACATCATATTTAGAATACACAGAATAACACTGTTTTTTCTTTAAATCTGAAATGTAATTTTACATGGTGTCTAAAATTCAGTATGGATGTATTTCAACAACAGAAATGCAGGCTGGGTGTCCTAGAAGCACTCTCACACAACAAGCACTCCTCTAGCCTTCTACATAAAAAGAGTCAAACACTAATGATGAAAAATATTGGCCAATCTACTACAATTATCTTGTGGCTTTATGTATGAAACAGCTCTGCTAGTATTTCTTTGTAATGATGCCAAACAGATCAATTTCTATCAGCTAAAACCTACCTTTGATAGACTCTAATGGCTCTCAAAATAGCCAAGGATTCAACTCACTTCAAGAATACCAACTTTTTGTCCCACTACAATATATAAAGCTATACTGTACATATTTAATATTTATAGTATCACACCAGGTACTTTCTAAATCTCTGAAGTTGCCACAAAAAAAGAAACAAAAGGACTTTTGTTATAATTTTGCATTGCTAAAACTCAGCAGCTGACTCCTAGAAACGCTTTGCCCCCCAAAAAAATTGTAGAAAAGGTGAATGCTTCATGCTCCCTCTGTCCTCTCCCTGTCTCTTTACAGTAACTGTGAAGAGAAGCTAATGAGCAAGTGGGGCAGGACATCTTTCTTATATCCCTCTCAAGTGAGAGTTTTACATGGAAGAATTTTACATGGATGATGTATCATTCCACTCTGGAAGGACATATCCTCTTCATGAAACGTTTAGGAGTAAAGCCCACAAACTATTTTAAGAAGTATCCTGAGTTAAATTTGGCAACAAGACCCATGCTCATGAGTCATACACGGTATTATCAGTATTATACTTAAAATAATGAGGCAGATGTGTAAAAACACTTATCAGGACAAACCTTCTAAATGAATTTGTTCTGTTTTGCTTTTTCGAGCATAGTTTGAACAGATATTTTTATACAATTCTGAAAACCAAACGCCACTGCACACACTTCCTGCCTCGATGATTCGAGAAGGAGAAAGTGACCAAGGTATGTCACAATGAAAGACACACTCCTGGAAGATGCTCTGACATTACAGCAATGAGAGCAAACATGGAACATGTAGCAATGAGTGCTACACACCACAACACTGCAAAACAGCACTGCAAAACATCCACAACATTTTGATTTAATTTAAAAGAAAAATCCAGTCATGACAGATGAGCCTGTAAAAAATTTCTGTAATCATAGTGGCCTCAGGAAAAAAAATCCCTGTTCCAGCAAAACCAGGTCATACAGTCCATCTTTACCTACTGATTTCAAAGCCTTTTAGCTTCTAACAGTCCATTAACAACAAAAAGTAGAGATCAGTAAAAGTAACATAAAATTTAAAGTAAAACTATTACGCCTTAATGTGGCCACCTTCATGGACCTATGATCTAGTTTGGATGAACAACAATAGTCTATCAGACTGAGCCCAAGACTGGAACGCTAAAGGCTACTCTGACTTTACACAATCAATTTGTCACGTCCCACGCACTTCATAAAACACAATGATCCACGAGTTGTGTGGATGCTTGCTAGGCCAAAAAAGGTTACTGCCACTAGCAGGAGCTGAAGAATTTTGCACCTTCAAACTGACCTACCTCTGGACTGCAGCGGAGCACCACCACATTCCACCAAGCAGTGGAGTGGTGACACAGGCATGCTCAACTAATAAAGAACGATTATAATGTCCACACTTGCGATCCATTCTTTCCATCATGTGAGAACATGCAGAGAAAAAAAGACATCTATTATCCATACTGGAAGACAACTATTATCCATACTGGAAACAGAAGCTAATCCAGGAAGCTGAAGTGCAGCCAAGAGCAGCAGAGCGTGCCAGCTGACCCTGTAAGAGAGCCACACAGAGGGACAGACCAAGCAGCAGCTCTGTGAGTTACATACAGCTTAACTACCTCTTAGAAAAGATGTCAAAGCAAGGAACAGCTACATGATGTAAAAGCTAGGAAGAAGTTCTGCAATAGGGAAAGCTGAGGGCAGCTGACACTGTGAGCCCCCACAGCAGGAAAGGAACACATGTACAGTTCAACAATCTTTAACTCACGGCAGGAGAGCATGACCGAACAGGAGACTCAGCTATAGAAGAAAACTTAGTATTTTTCATTGGTCATTTTCAGCTGTCCTCTTAAGTTTTGACAAAAATCTGTTTCATATATACAGCTCATTAAATTCAGATCAAGAGAGATTGATGATAATGCTGGCTGTTAAAAAAATGAACATTCATTTATTTTAGAAAAGTATTTTCCCAGATGGCTCTCCACCTGAAGATCTAGACAGAGTTTTTATTTATTCTTTAAAATAAGGTCTATGTGTTATACACATTTTCTGTTTCTATATAATTTCTGATTTTCCCTTTTGGGGAAAAAAAAACCTTTTGGTATTTTGATTTCCCTTTTATTAAATGTAGATACAATCTGTAATGAAAACATTATATATCAAAAACCACTCATACACATATGTGTTACACCCACAAATAATAATATGCCCCCAGGAATGATACTTATACAACTTCTTGATTGTGAGATGTCAGTCATCTAACAGTGCAGAAAAAAGAAGAAAAAAAAAAAAGAAAAACATAGACGCCATCCTGCAGCCCCATCTAGTGCATTAAGTGAGAATACTTCATAACTGACAAGTGTAAAGCTGGTATAATTTTAGGTCAGGTCTTCTCAAAACATGGCCCATGAGGTTATGCTATGTGTCCAGAGGTGGTACGGCAAGCCACACTACCATATTTTCTATCTAAAGTCTCATATGACAGCTGCGTGGTGATTTGCACAAAATTTTAAAGCTTTATGGTCAGATACTGGTCCATTATCCATTTAAATCATTAAAAGCATGCACTGTTGACTCATGGTTCTTAAGATTGTTTTATCTTCTTTTTGGCATAATGTAACTTCTTCAAAAGGCTGTTCCTTTCACAGGGAGAGGGTAACTCTAAAGTTAATTATCTGAAAACAAAACAAGCAGAGCACAACTTTCAAGGACTTGTCTGTTAGCAAAATAGCTGATGCTGGTGGAGAGCAGAACTGGCCTCTTAGTTGTCTCACACCAAAATCCAGTCTGTTCCAAAACTGAAATAGATCAGAAAATGGTTCAGAAAATCAAAAGCTGATTTGTCTGCATGAGGCACTTCAGAAATTGTTTTATCTATGCAAGACAGACAGGTGAGTGAAACATGGGACACTGAATTTTCCCACACTCCTGGTAAGCTGATCCCAAAAGCTGACTGTAGCACCTTCCCTGCAGGGGAAGTTCAGACCAAGCCATGGACGAGGGTAGCCAGAGCTCTATGACCCCACGAGTTTGGGCTGCAGCATGTCCAGCACCACCACTGCTCCATCTCTCCTGTGGGCAAGTGGCAACAAGCTAAGCACAGCTTCACCTCCTGCACAAGCTCTGGCTGTGTTTGGGTTTGGCCACAAAAAAATTAGGAAGCTGAGGCAACATAAATCTGCGTGTAAGCAGAACATATGCCATGGAGAAATGAAAGCCAGCATGGATCTGTAGTTAATTTATAGTTCAGATATATCTAAAGATTCCCAAACACTATTTCCAGATTCAGTCAACCTTAAGAAAATTTGGAAATTCCACTCAGAGTGAATGTCTTGGGCTCTATAAAAAGTATTATTTGTTTCATCAAAAAAGATGGGACAGATGGAAAAAACCTGACGGCTTGTGTAGTACAGATCAAAATACTCCTTCCTGAAAGTCTTAAATTTGTCAATTTTCTTCACTTTTCCTCCCTCTAAAAGACACTGTCAAAGGACAATGTAATGGCATTTATAACACACTGAAAGTATCACCACCATGCATTAAAGAGCTGTAGCAATGACTAATTCTAGTCAGGGTTACTTATTTTCAACCATTACCATATCTTCTAATGCTCAGGGAAAAGTCAGGAAGAGTATCTTCAGGCTGTGGCCTGAAGCCTAAAAAAGCTTAGGTGATGGTAACAGATTTCTGTTGCCTTAAGTCCAGTAAAATCAGTCAACTGTTTTTTAGTTATCCAAGAAGAGGAAAGAATTTTTATACTCAATTAAAAAGTTCAGTCTACTCATATTAACTAAATCACAAAAGGTATACAGGAAAAAAAAAAAAAGGTACTTGTTCTAAAATAATCAGCTACATACACTAAAGACATAATTTCTCCTTCATTATAAATCTGTGACTGAAACTTATATGCAGGCAAGGCTCTGCTCTGGATACTCCCAACAGAACTTTTCATTTTTAGTTACAGATGCCACTTGGTAGATGTGAAACTCAGGCACCTAAGATATATTAAGGCCCCTACTAACCTGCTATCTAAAATTAAAAATGTAAGTGGGATGCATTCAGGATGCATTTTAATGTGCTCTTTTGGTCGGACTTTCCACTGCTATTTTCATCTGCTGGTTTTTTCTCCCATTTTCTTTCCTCCTCTATCCACTCTTGCTCTCAATCACGGCAATGCAGAGAGGTAGGCCACGCCACTCAGAATTAATTTCCAACACAGTATTTCCAGCAGCATCTCCTTGGTCCTTCCAGAAAGGTGTTTTATGATTTCACCAAAAGCACAAATCTTCGGCTTGGCTTCAGTATAAATACAGCTCCAGTGATTTCTCAAATACTTACACATTTTCCGCTTCAATTTTCCCTCATTCTGTAAGAAGGTAATCTTTCATGTATTCTACACATAAAATTCCACAAACCCACTTCAGAATACCATGACTGCAAAAATGCAAAGCCTGGCTATGTACCTAAAAACATAACTGCTTTTCCCTCTTCTGAGAAGACTGGTGGACAAAATCCCTGTTGACGTGGGAAAATTAACAATTATTAAGTGTATGCCTGCTATACACAGTGCAATATTTTAGAGAGACCTATGCTACCGCTGGAACAAACTAAAGTTTATATTGCATTGTGCTTGCCCTAAAAGCCTTGACTAACTGCTGTTTTCCGTATTAATTAATGGCATAACTTTATTAGTGAGCATTTAAATATAAGGAAATTCAGAATACCTTTTCTGCTGCTTAGTATGTTCTGTGTTACTTCTTCACGGAAATAATCACTAATCTTTCTGGTCTTTGACTCATGTGGCCTATTATATTGATATTCAGTTCTTGACTTCACTGAAATGCCTGTTCACCACTGTTTCAATAATTTAGTTCTCTTACAGCTTATTTGTCATGTAGCCCACACAATTATTCTTTCAAGAGATGAACTCACAAAGTTTTGAAGTTACATAATAGTTTCACATCATTCTCATTGACATAGAGCCTAAGCAGTCATCAAATACAGATGAAGAAAACTTTATTCATTTATTTTTACAGGCTCAGCTATACAATTAAGTCACCATTGCCAAACCCAAGACGTAGGCTAACAATGCTCTACCTGTTCTGCAGAAACTTACTCTGCAAAGAATGTAATGTATATTACTTTGCTTTAAATGATCTGCCAAAAGAAGATGCAAGAGCAAATACAAATGTGCACTGTGACAGCCAAAGCCTGAATTACCGTCAGTATCTTTATGCTCACAGTGTGTCCTGCTCCATCCACTGACTTTTCTATACAGATACACAAAGCCCCTCCACCATACAACAGGCAGAAAGGTCATCTCTTAACACAGGTCAGGATAGTAGGACCACAATTTTCAGAGGAGCGCAGAACACAGAAGACTGAAACCAGGTTTTGCCACTATCTTGACGCCTTACAGAAGACGGCTAAGTTTCAGTCTGAACAAGATAAGTGGACCAAGAACCTGGTGAAAAAATGCAGCCTTTCTTTCAATTTACCTAATTCCAAGTACAATCACTCATATTATCATGGTGCATATTCTTCACTAAAGATAACAAGCTCAGAGATACTACGTAATTGAAATGAGAAATTAATCCACAACTCCAGATGTAGCAGCACACGTGAACACTCATTTAGCACAACCTGGAAAATTTTTATGTGCAACTTGACATGGCATATTGGATTCCTCCAGTCTGCCCCTGAGAAGTACTTTGGTGGCCATGATTACAAATCTAGCAAAAGTTGGTATGGTAACTGTATCGACAGTCTGGAAAGTATCACAGAAAACAGTGCTTAAAGATAACATATTTCTGATATATCTCACTGGGATACAAAACAAAAACATCATACCAGTAGTCATAACTCTCATCCCAGTTGTCAAAATGAACCAGAAAACGATTGTCCACCATGTCTGTTACCGTAGCAACACAAATGAAAGTCGGGTTCTTCTTGTCTACAGCTTCCAGCTTCATCCCCACTCGAAATCCCGACGGAATCACTGTCTACATAGAGAAAGACATTTAATTGAAGATAAATACTATAAATCCAGAAATCTCCCCAGAGTCCACAATCAATATGTTCACGTCATTTCTAAGTTTCCCAATTAACTGCCCCAGCAGAGTGGCAGCAATCTAATTAGTTGACATGAGAGATGCTCAAACACAGAGACTTGTGGTTTGTGGGAAAAAAAAAGCCTTAAACACACTGCTAAAATTAGATGTGTTGGTTTTAACTCTTAGATAGTCTCTCTGAAAGACCATGCTTGTTCCACAACACTATGGTGTGAGACACAGTACTAATAACAAGCCTTAAATTTCATTTAATATACCATTTCTGAATGTGCGAGATCAGATATTTAAACAGATTAGTAAAAAATTAATGGATCAAAATTGCAGAGGTGAACAGAAGATTGTTATTGAATTTGTTGTAAACATTTTTATCTCCAATTTCAGGTCTCAAGCCTGCCATCACTAACATGTGCTGTGAGTCTCTACCACACACATGAGCATACTAGCAACTTTCCACGCCACTAGTAACACGTGACTACTTACTGCATTCTGGTTTTCAAACAGTGACTTAGGAGCAGCTTGAGCCTTGCATGCCTTTAGGTACGAGGGCCAGCTGAACTCTTCTTCCTTATATCCTAAATGAGGGTCATAAAAGAAGGGTAGGAAATGATAGGCATGAGACACAAGGTGCACACAGGTGATTTGATCATAACTGATGCAACTGATTTTCCATCCAGTTCTGAACTGTTTTGTACAATTTCAAAACTGAAAAGATTATGCACTGTTAACTAGTTATTCTAATTCTACATAAACTACACTGGGAAAATATACTTTAAACCTACTTATTAATCCTACCCCAATTTGAACTCAGTGAGTCTCTGAGGGCGCACTGGTTGGGATTATTAGAAATTTTAGCAGGACACATTTAGAGGAGCTTAACAGAGTTCAAAAGAAAATTAATGAAGCTTTTCTATTTTTATTTGGGTATCTGGTATTACAAAGAGGAATGATGTTCTTTATCTAGGGCTGGCTAAGCTTCCTTACCAAAATGTCAAGCCTTCTTTACACTAACTGAGCTGCACTTTATTAGTTTCTTAGAGTTGGCTAGAACTGACATTTGAACTGTTCCTAATCTTCATCTGGGAGGAAGAACAGTCATATAAATAAAGCACTAGTCAAGAACTCAGGAGATTTCAGCTCAGCTTCAATTTCACCTTCAAAACATGCTGGAGAGCATTTCTTAGAAAATCACTGCTCTGTCCCTGATCTCCCACCTCACAGTCGTGGCTGCCAAGGGACCTAAAGGTCCTCAAGGGGCAGAACATCTAGGGGCAGCCAAGAAACTAAAATCCATAATTCTATCAGGTATCAAAAATCAGCCTCAGTAGGATATCAGTTTTTTCCTACAAGCTCCTTTGAACATATCTCTCCAAGCGGCAGAGCCTACAAGTCCTTCCCAAGAAAAGCGGACCTCACCACCTCTCTGCCTCCCAGGTACCAACTAGTGGTCTGACTGACACATACACAACCAAGAAGCTTGGAGCAAGTGCTCTCCAGCTGCTTTTCAGTCTGTTGCCTCTGCTTCAGACACAGCAAAGCGCCTACAGGCCCCAAGGCTCTTTGCAATATGTCAGTTAGTCTAATAAAAAAATTCCCTCCTCCTACAGACTTCAACCTACTACATCCTCAGGCTATCACTAATACAGGGTAATCACTACTAGCTTTAAAATAAATTCCCTAGGTTATATCAAAACAGTTGCTTACACCATCAATGCCCCAGGACCCCTTATGCATTTACAGTGTAAACTCTCCTCTGCACAGACTTTCTGCATTTTTTATTCTATGCATACAGCACTTGGAAAGAAATCTAAATTTCTGCTGATAGTTTGCCTCTTCTGGTTTCTTATGAAAAAAATAAATTCATGATATATTGAACTGCTTAAAATAATTCACAAGAAACCATTTGTACTTGTAATCTATAAAACAATGCTAAGAGTTGGAAGCAAATAGTCTTCTTCCTTCATTCTCCTGTTAAATAATAGTTACAGAAACACCTATTTTAGTTCATATGTTACAATCCAGTAAACCAAGACCAAAACCATCATGGATTTCAGTGACTGATTGCCTTTACCAAAATGTGTCACCTCTTGACTATTTGAGGTGTTACTCAAATATGCCACAGACAACAGCTCTGTTTAACTTGAGAATATCATGCTTTCCAAGGAACCACAAATAAAGAATCCTTTCACTGCACCTTCTCTGCATCTGGCTTTCTCACTTTTAATTTTAAATATTAGCCAATAAGTCCAAACAATGATACTTTTCTTTATACTCCAGTTGGTTCTTGCCTTGATACACTATAGCTGTAAGATCAGTTGAAGCCATTTTTAAAGGAATGTAGTATTGAGGCTTTCAGTCTTCTATAGGATATTCAAACCTAACTCAAAGCTCAGAGTAGACAACACAGAACTCCCACCTACTGCATGTGTGATGGGATCGGGTACTGATACTGGGACAAAGTCCACGGAAAAAAAATTGTTTTCAGTAGACTGTGAAACAGTTTCTGGCCAATGTGGGTCTTCCTATCACCAAGTGACAAAGGGAGATCTCTCGCTCCTACCTCATCTCTGAAAAAGGAAGAGCTTTAGAGATCCTACCTCATCGTTCAAAAAAAAGAACCAAAGGTGAATTTGATTCAGTCACAGTAGATATATAACAGTCAGTGCAACTTTTACTTTGGGACCTTCAGTGACAGACAGTTTTCAAGGCTCTTCTCTTCTCTGCTGACTGCAGAGCAACTCCCCTGAAGCGGCTTCAGAAGACCAAGCGGCCTCTGCTGCACCAACTTCTCCCTTTTGCATCCAAATGCTTCCTGGCTTGATCCAGGCAAAAGCCCAACAGTAATACCATTGCAGAGCCCATGATAATTCTGGGAACACACATACATCCATCCCCACCTCTGCAGGTTTCACCTGCATGAGACAGAAAAGTGACCTCCTCTGCACACAGAATGAACAGAATCCTGAAACACAATCTTTTTAGTTTCTGTGAAGCCCACTTTGGTTTTGCAGCTCTGCTAGTAGTAGTCTTGATCTCAGAGCTATGGAAAACACACACATTTCAAGCTAAACAATACCTTTAGGTGGATGAAGCTTGTGACCTGTTTTCTCACACCATCCAACAGGATGAATGTCTGAAGAATCAGCATTCACCCAGAAATCATAACAATCTGGATATCCATCAAAATGGAGTCGTATTCTGTAGCCACAAACCTAAAAGCAAGAACGTATAACATACAACACTATACTTTAAAATGTTTGCCCTACACATAACAGCTTCTGTTCAGTATTACATATACTAACAGTGTGCTTTCAGTCAGCCTTTTATTTCTGCTCAAGCCAACACTGGATGAATAAATTCATTTGATAAAAGGGAAAGAACAAAAAATCAAAGCTATTCTCAGTCTGAGTGTCTCCTCTTTTGGTGAAAAGAATCAACTAAAAACTGGATATTGCCATTAGTGTTCAAAACCTTAAAAACTGTTCAACCGAACAGCAGCAGAATAAAACAGAAACCCTACAGAAGAGCATGAATACATATGATGCAAGCACGGAGAAAGTGTAGATAATTATGCTCTCAAGCTATTCCAATTAATCACTATGCAAGAAAGCACTCAACAGTAACTATCTTCAACAGGCTCTCCAGAGAGATACTGAGAACTGTTATTAAAGATGAGAAGTCAGTGGAGGTTCCCCTACAATTTCATTATTCCATAAAGTAATAAGTTAACCACTGAGAGGAACAGAAAAACAGGACATGCAATTCCTCTCTCTGTACAAAAGTTCTCCACATCTTCCTGAATGCCAAATGCCATAACTTTTCTGGAGTCATCAGAGAAAATCTCTTGACATCAAGGTCACTCTATTTTATATTTAATTTATACTCTAACATAACTTCCAGTTTGTCATCTCAGAATTACATGGAATTCAGGTCATCCTGCAGTAAAATATGACCCATCACTTACTGCCGAGCACAAGGTACACAGGAAATAACTCAACCACTGGCACACCATCCGCAAGAAAATGGAGGAGATATCCACAGAAATGGTATATGACTATGGGCCATGCAGAGATCCAGAAATGGGAAAACAAAAGCCTAGGCTATAAAAATATGAACCACAAAATTACAGCTGCTTAGAATAACAGTGATGCAGAGAAGAGTACCTACCCTATTCCTTTTTCCCCATTTTAATTCACACAACAAAAACAAAAAAAGATCCTTGGTAAAGCTACGTAAAAACTAATGTACGGTATGTTTGAAAGACTTAAAAAATGTAACTGAGAAACGGGTTCTCATATTATTGAAAGCAAAGAAACTACTCATCAAAGATTCATTTTATAAACTGCTGCAAAAAAGGCAAACTGAGTTTATATGGTATACTAATTTGTAGAAGTTGCCAACACAGACAATTTCTCAAGCCATAAGCCTGAAAAAATTATAGCACAATTGCAACACATAAAAAGTATGAGATATTTGTATCAGTGAATGGAGCAACCATAAATACTATTTAACCTCTATAAAAGCACTATAAATCAGTTGTCATACTTATGGTTTTTCTACTTATTTTTTCTTTAAAATATAAACTACAGGATTACAAAAGCCACATACCATCCAACTACTGTAATACCTTTTTTCTAGCTGTATACATTAAACATATGTCAACAGTCACCACTGCATGGACATAGTTGTCACGTGTTTGTCAGGTAGATTTAATGCAGTGTTATTAATCTAAAAGCTATCTTCCTACCTACAGTTTCTGTCTGCCTGCCAGGGAAAAGCAAGTACTTTCAGCTGCTGCTGTTCCAGTTCAGTCTCTCCTGTAATCCTCCACCACGGCTGCTCACAGCCTCTGCTTACCTCGGACACTGTGAGAACACAGTACATCGACTGGTGCTCAGGATCTACGCCCTCCAGTTTCATCCCCACTTTGAATCCATTTTTGTTGTACGGGAAAGATTGATACTGCAATGGAAAAGAACAGTTTCAATACTTCTGAAAGTATACCAGAGAAAGACTGAATATAAGGAAAGGAACAATTATTTATTACTCATGTTTCTGAAAGAGCTAATAAATTGCTTAAAAATAAGTTTTACATTTTTAAAAATTTACTCCAGAAAAGAGACAGTGATGGCTATTTGAAAACATGTTGGTACTAGAATGACTTAAAACTTGAGAGTACTTCAGAAAATTATGAAGAATTAGCAAAAAAGTTACCCAAGGGAAAAGAAGACAGCATGATTTGCCCTAAACTTTTTTCACTGTCAATAAAACATTTTAACAATGTAATTATTTATTTTTCAGTCTGTACAGTGACACTTTGACCTGGTGGTCATTATTCCTGAAAGAATCACAACAATGATAGTCTGTTTTGCCTTTTCATTTCCACATCTCAGGCCACCAAAGACAAACTGCAAGGCAGAAATATAAAACATTTGTATACAGGGATGGTCTCTTTGATGCCATTTTCTCCTTTGTACGTTAGGTCACGATTAGTTCATTTTCCAGGAATATTTTTGCATCACAAGAATATGACTACCCTTATATCACATTACAACGAACCTAGCAGAACATCTTCCGAAAAAAAAGAAAGTGAAAACAAGGCTAAGCAGAAAGGATGCTTCAATCAGAAGACAGCAGGCTCCCTTGTGTCATGCTCCCTGTCTTCTGTTAAAGGCGGAAGGAAGCTAGCAGATACTAAGGTTAAATTGGAGGGAATATTAAAAAAAAAGCTACAAACAAACCCGAATAAAACCGAAGCGGGTTTTCCACAGGTCACCAAATTCACAGCTAGACAGTTTTTATGTCCCAAATGGTTACAGACAAAACACAGGAGAAGCATTTTATATGCTCCCCCTTCCTTCTCTTCCTGTCTAAAAGCCACACATGCTCCCTAGCCATCTGCAGTACCTCTGCAGTTAATGGAAAGAGAAGGGTACCAAAGGAGGTCTCACCTACTTGGAAGAAAGGGAACCGTGTCTTTGGTGGCTTTCACTGCAACTGATGTCAGTGAATAATAAACCCAGGAGAAAAAATGCAGTGTGTGGCACAAGAGCAGGAATATGCAGTCAAGGGGAAGGGAAATGGGGAACCAGACCAGCTTAAATGAACCTAAAGTGGCCAGCTAATAGATGCCTAACCACAGCTCTAGGTCCGTATCTCAAAACAGGTTAGGTCATTTTGCAGACCTCAGTTAAGGGACCAGAGTATCTGACTGCAGTACATGCATTTGAAAAGTTATCTCATTCTAACACCACCACACTTAACATTTTTATCATCAGTAGAAGTTTAATGAAGTTAGACTATGCATAATTCTCGATACTTCCTCAAGAGGAATGTAAAAGCAGAGTACTTTTTTTAAATCAATAAACTGAAATTTTTAAAGTTCATATTGGTGCACAGAGTTGCAGTTAATGCAATCTAGACCATAAACACCCTACATACAAAAAAAAACCTCACTGGAAACCTGAAATGCTAGAAATACTGACACATTGGCCACACTGACACAGTGGCCACAAATACAATTGAGATTTCACAAAATCAAACACAAAATCACAAAGAAATGAAACAATTAAAAACTCACAGATCTGTTTATTATTTCATTATTATAATAAACTTTAACATACAAACAGTGCAAAATTCTACAAGCAATACACTAAAAATTGAGTAATTACCACACAGGTATTTCCTGAAATTTAAGACAGGAATTATTCACAGTTATATCCACTGTCAAATCTAAAACTTCTAAGGCAACATAATCTTTAGTTTGATTTCTGTTACACCAAAATAACAGGCAAATTTTACAAGACTAATAAGTTTAATACTATTTAACAGATTTCAGTTTTGTGCATTATTCTCAATACATCACCCAAGGTAAAGCTCTGACAAACTTAGTCATTATTTTTACAACAAACATTTGAAGATACTTCATTAAGGGAAGATACTTCGTTAAGTAAAGATACAAGAACAACAAGAGTAAAGGTAAAAGGAGTGAGCAAATGAGCAGATGGCAGACTGAGGACCAGAAACGTTTATGTATGGTGCACGAACATACACAAAACCTGAAAGATTACATCAGGGGAGTTGGAGACTGAAAAAAACCAACAAAATTCAAGGGTCAACAACAGCTTGTCAGTCACAGCCTAGAAATTACTCTAAGATTTAAGTACCAGGAAGTGACAATAACTTTCCATTATCCTGACCACTCCTAGCTAAGGGTACAAAAAATACCATGAAATGTACCGCTTCTGAACTGAAAAAGTAATAGAAAAAAAGAGTAATTCTCACAATGCAAATGGAAATCAAGGATTCAAAATTGGGGGTGTTTTTAACCTTACTGTTCCTGTGACTTGTCCATCTGTAAAATGGAGAAATATTACCTGGCCACTCCTGGGTGCTGTTAAGAATTCTCTCTCCACTACAGGCTTTAAATACTGCACACTAAATAAAACCCTAGAGTTACCCAGTGGCTAAAGACTTTAAAATTCAATATTAAATAAAATGTACTGAATGAGAAAGGTAAACTCTGGAGAAAAATAAAGGCAACAGTATGTCATCATGTAACTCCAGACTACCACCATGTGCAGTGTCCGGAAAGGCTGGTATATGCCTGTGTGCCACAACAGCATCCCATGGAACTTCAGACAGGCACAGCAATGCTTTGTAAATCTACCTTCCGGATAGAGACACTACAGAAAAAGAAAGAAATGGACGCAAGAAACAGACTACAAGTAAGAACAGAATTATCACAAAATAATACTGGATATACATAGCAAAGTACAGCAGCTGAGACATGTACACATGCTTTGCCAGGTTTTGCAAGAGAGGAGAATGGTGTGGAAGCTCTGTGGATTTGCATACAGAGCTCTCTTCCAAGCAAGAGAGACAGCACTACAGAAAGCACGGAAATGACAAATCACAAGGACTACCACAGCAGTCAAAGGACAAGCAAAAGATGAGGATGTGACACCCAATCAGATGACAGGCAAAATGGGAACAAGCCAAACTAGTATCTGATGTAGTAAAAAAATATGTCAGCAGGAGCTGCAAAAAGACCAGTAACATAACCAAAGCAACAAGCCAAAGGATGACCTTTGTAACACCTTTCTAAACATATTTAAAGAGAATGATACGGCATGGAAAAATTAGGGTATGCATCAGATTTTTAGCTTCAGAGATTAGAAGGAAAGGCTAGAACTTGCAGATTTTGAAAAAGCATCTGTGTTCTGTAGTCTCAGCTGACAGCATTCATCTACAACTACAGAATTCTTTGAAGAAGCAGAGAAAGATAACTAATTTCACAAATTCCACCTATATTGACAATTGCATTATTTTAGTCAGGTAGGTTTTCCCCCAGGGAAGTGTAAAATATTCTAATTACTTTTTAAAAAAATTTATTTCCTAGAAATGTCATGATCTTAGGTGGTTGACTGATTTCAACTTCAGAAGGTCATACCTCTTTAAAAAGCTTAGTAGGTACTGCAACAGCCTTTTCTTCCTCCAGATAGGATGCCCAACACCACACTTGCCTTCCTTTACAGGGTACAGCTGTAAGGAAACACACAATAGCAAAAGAATTCTGTAACAGTTAACTTCTCAAGAAATAAAAAAATCAACACTTTGAAGTTTATAATATACCTATCTCAGATCTACTTTTTATTAAATGCATTCATGATGTTTCTCTGGACTTATTTCAATAAAAGAAGTAGCTCTGTAGGTTTAATGGCAGTAGGTTTCTAGTTCAAATCCTGATTAGTAACAAGAAAAAGCTCTTTCAGGTGACAAGAACAACCTACAAAGCCTTGCCCCCTGTCCCTTTTCCCTTATTGCTCATAACATTAAGATATACAATTTACAAATGTGTAAAAAGATCAGTTCAAATCACAAAGTAGCTCAATATTTTAATTTTATTTTTTTTTTACCCAAAATTTCTTTTTCTGGGAAGCATTTCCAGCTGGATAGCACTTGTGACATGTTTTTTTAATCACAATTGAAATACTTTACTCTTTGCCAGTACTCAGAATGTTTCTAACCTTCTCTATCACTTTGTAGCTTACTGGTTTTGGGTGGAGGCAGTGATTTAACAGTAATTTCTCCAAGCCATAAAAACTGCCACCAGTGCATTTTTTCCCCCCCATCATGTCATTAGCATGTGACAGAAACCTCCAGTTTCAGGTTTATTCATATAGTATGAACACTCGCATACACTTGCAAAGTAACTGTAAGATAAGCTACAGTCAATATTGGCTACAGTCACATCAATGAGTAACAGTTTTCAGGTCTTGAAAATGAGGCACTAACTGCACTAGCAAAAGCCAGGAACTTCAAAAACAGATAGCTTGTGAGGCTGGCCATGTATGTATCTACTTTCACACACCTCCACTTTGCTCCACTGATCTTCACCTACAGTGCCTCCTCTGCAGCTTAGCATTTCAGACCATAAGTTCACGCTGCCAGAAGGATTCCTCACAGTCCTCAGTATGATTCTGTCCTGATCCTGACTATGGGCTACGCACAAGAGAAATAAGCCCCTTAAGTAACAGTCTGGCTAAGTGTTGTCATTACTAAAACATGAACCATAGCAATAGCGATGCCAAACTCTCCTGAAGAAAGCTGATAATGGAACCAAAAGATAACGAATTTCATAATCACAGCAATCGCTCAACACTATTAAAGCACATTCATTTTATTTGTGATTTACCCAGTTTTTATTTATTCAATTTAAGAGCCGCGTCACTCAGCACAATAATTCACAGTTATACACTTGGTTCTGAATATAAATTGGTCTTTTATACCAAATCTCTTGTGCTGAACTGACATTTTCCGAAATAAAAAAACCCAAGAAGTCTGTACAGATCATTCTGTCAGTGGATAGCAGTGATTTCCATAAACCATTGGCTTTGTGCTTGTATCTCACACATTTCTTACTACCTCAGCTTTGGAAACAAGTGTAGAAATAATACTTATATTTCAGGAGTAATTCTATCTCAGGAGGGCGATCTTCCGTAACTTTTATGTGTTGCATCTTCAATCAGTATTTCATCTGCCTAGTGTGCAGCAGAGCTACTTGGAGCTCAGTGTTGATTAGTGGCCCGGCAACTTCTGGTAATGGCTCCCAGTCTACCATAAGAAACACTTCGGTGGGCAAGATGTAGGTTAGTGCTTGGTGTACCTCTGAGGTACAATAGCTGCCGATTTTCCCATTCTTCCTAAAAGTATCTACTATAAAAATAGCTTGAAAAAACAGTACTCATTCAAAATATGTTTTATTATGCTGCTTGATGCAGTGTATGTCCCTTTGGACTGATCACAGCAATTATTCCTAAACAGTTCCATAAATGTGTCTATTTCCAACACAGACTGCAGATATGGAATTGATCCCCAAGGAAACAAAAGCAAACTTTAACTTCTGCTTAATACCTGTCTTTCAACATCTGGGAACTCAATGGGCCTGATTCCCTTTAATACCAGCACTCTTCAGAGGGATGAAACAAACACCCAAAACATGCATCAATTACATTTACGCTCACTATATCCTCCTTCACACTGCCAGAGGTATATAAATTGGTTCTTTGTAAAAATTTCCCAGTGATGGGTTTTTTCCCCAGTTTTCAGTTGGCCCTCCCTTCAATCCTTAGAACTCAATTGCTATAAATAACACTGGCACTCTCTTTTTATAGAATTGACAAAAATGTATTTGATGGGGAACATAAATTCAGTGAAACAATGCTGGCAATTCACCATAAAAGATGGATATTGCCTAAAGAACTGACAGCTGAGATTTTTGTTTCATAATCTAACTTACTTTGTTTCAAAACTGTTATTTCCCCTTTTCTTTTCCTCCTGGCTCTCTGTGACACTCTCAAGATCCTTCCTTCAGGTTTGTCCTCCTAAATTAAAAGAGTACAATTATCTCATTAGTTCATAAGTCTAATCCAGTAAAAACAGAGACACCCAATGTTTAGCTGTGACTTCATTTAAATGGCCATAGATATAGCTCTCCACTATCTCAAACAAACCTGTGGATGTCTAATAAAAACAAAGTGAGCCATCAGTAACAAATCACAGCAAACACAGTGAAAATGACAGATAGAGGACTCTCAACAGCTGGCACTAAACCAGCCAGCCTTGTCTAAGCCAAGGAAAGATCACAAAGCCTTCATCAGGCCTGGCTAAGCCAGAGATAAATACCAGTATCTTTGATACATTCATGCTTCCAAAGTAATTTAAAGGAAAACCTCTCACAGGTTTATATAAAATGGCACTGATAGTTTTTATTTATTTCCTTGTTTGTGTATTAACAATTAGCATCTGAATAGATGAACAGAATAAGTACTCATTTGGGAGGGCAAATGGATGGAGGCAAGGAGGTGTCCCCTGACTTTTGCCTAAGATACTTCTACGCAGAGAGCTACAAATTCCCTTCTGACAACTCTAGTGTCTTCAGCCTTTTGACAATTTGGCAGTTGCAGAGCTCTCTCCTTCTCCTTCAAGACTGTGCTCCTCCAAAACAGTCACACAGCTATTGGGAGGAAAACAAGTATTACAGGAATATGAACATGATCAGAAGGGACTGTGATAAGTCTATTCCAAAATGAAGAATAAATCTAAAAGGAAAAAAATCAAAAGACGCTCCAAAGCACATTACACCGCAACACAAAACAAAACCAGATCTTTAGCTATGATTTTCTAAGGCAAATTACACTAAGAAAATAAAAAGTATTCTCTTCTTAACTGTAATGTAGATTTCTTTGTAAATATATTATTGGTCTATAGTAATTTATTCACGTGCAGAGTGAGAAAGTAGCAGGTGCTGGAAAACACATACTTCTATTTTTCTATGCTGAAAACATAGCAAGTCTAGGTTAATATTTTTTCCTTTAAATTCTTTTTGTTCTGTTCTTTAAAAAGCAGGGGAAATAGATAAAAACCATCTCTTATCAGTTCATTGTCAATAATTACAATTTACTCATGAGGCATAATTAAATTAGTAAGTGAAGCAATTACTTATTGTGGCTCTGACAGAGTGACACATCACTTCTCTTTGTAGGCTGATGAAGTTACTGACATCACAATATAACACAAAACTCCCATTAAAATACTTGAAGGAATGGGCTTATGATGCATACTAACAGTTTCATCAGCATTCTCTCTCTTCTCCCCATTATCCCTGGACTCTTCTTTGAGAGGTAACTTTGCTTTTCTTTTCCGAATGCCTTTGGAATCATCTTCCCCATTGCATTCCATGCTGGGATTTTCCTCCTTTGGTTCTCTATTACAAGAGTAAACACAATGACACAAAGCCAATATTATTTCACTTCTCATATTCATAAGACAAGTAAAAAGTGAGTAAATCTGAAGGTCAAGTGTTTGTAGGTCCCAGAGTGTTATCCCATATATATTCTTAGAAATACTACTGAAAATTACATATGTCAAAAGAATTAATCTGAAAGACACACAATAGAAACTCTAAAAGGAAAGCTGTCAGCCTATGCTGAACAACTTCTCCATCTTTTAAACAGTCTGTCTTTTCCCACATACGATCCAGTCTCACAGAGAAGCAAACTGTGAAATGTTTAGGATGGCAGGGCAGTTTGCAGAAAGGAGAGCAAAGGTAATTGTTAAGACTGACAAATCCAATTGGAGAAAGCTGGCATGTGACTGTACAAATTGTTAAGTAAGCAATCACAACAGGCAACTTCGAAGCAACTAGCTAAAAATGAAGGAAAATGCAGAAAATCACAGATGTTAAAAACTGCCATAACGCAGTAATATGCAACACAGAATGGCCATACTAACACAAATGTTCTTTTATGAGATGAACTGCACCAGCTGAAATAAAAGGAACTGAGAAAGTACAGTATGCTCATGTTTTCACTCAATGCAATCTATAACACAGCTCTTACACTTCATTATAATTAACTTACCACACCAACCATCTCATTACTGATCATCTTAATTCCAATTAGTATGAAACAGGGTGTGAGTCTGACACTGATTCATGCATCCCATAGACTGTTTTACCACTTGCATCTGACAGCAGAACACAGTACTCTGAGCAGAAAAGAGTGGCTTCAATATCATCATTAGATAAAGCCAAATGTTGTTAATGCATTTACATGAAAAACAATGAAAGAACACTATAAACCAATGGGGACTCACCCAAACCTGGCTGCTTAATATCTCCCTTTGTCCCACCATTAATGTTTTATCCCACCACTTTTATCTCATGCCGCATTTAAGCCAAAATCTTTGTTTCTATGCTTTATAATAGCACCTACTTGTTTTTTACTTGCTGGGCACATTTCTGGCTGCAAAATTTCCCTTCAGGAACAAATTCTTCTATGGTACCATAGCTGTAACAGTTTTCACAGAAAACAAGTCCGTCCATTTTTGCGGTTTCCTTCAACCTTGTGGGGATCCCTGTCTTTTCTGAAAAGGCTGAACAATTAAAAAAATAACATGACTTAGGTAGAGGTGACACATTTCCAACCATCCCCAACAGGCTTTGACAAGCAAACAGATAAATGGAAGTCACACCACTCTTTTTACGATGAAGAACTGGGAGTTAGTGCCTATATGGGGTCCCTATTCCTGACAAGCAAGTTGAGTTTTCATATTGCAACATTAGAGAGAGGAATCCACCAACTTCATGCTTCTGTTATCAGTGACACATCGACACGGCTTGATGTGGCTGCTCATGGAAGGAGAAAATTTTTTAACAGCCACCTCACTGACTGCCCACAGAGTCATCACTGCACAGAGTCCATCACCTCATCTCCTGCTGGTGTGCCTCATTTTTGACCTATATATAGGGTCATTTGGGAAAAAGGTTTTGGGGGGAGTTATCTTTCAATAGGTGATTTTTTTTCTGGAAGTAAAACACTGACTACAGACCACAGTCTCTCACAGCAGTAGCTATTGCTCAACCTGACTAAGGTCTACCAGAAGTAAAAAAAAAAAATCACTGATTTGTAACAAAGAAATTTTCAACTCATCCTAAACTACAATTTCCCTGCAAGAGGCGTGTAACCTAGGAGAAGATGCTGTTTCTTTCACTCACAGGCAAGTATGAAGCACTGTCAAGTTCTCCAGCTTCTAGAGCAGGTCACTAACTTTGCACCTCGCCAAAGGGCAAATTTAAAGTCACAAACTATTTCTTCTGTTTGAGCACGGTACCATCTTAGAAAGTGGAGTCAAATGAACTCTTGTGTGCAGACTATCTCCACTAGAATAACAGGTAATTTATGTGCTATATTTACACTCCGTCATCATTAGTGGTTGAAACTATTTCCTCTCACAATGGAAAACCTTAGCAGCATTTTTATCTTTGGGAAGCATTAAATTAACAAAGGACAGTATAAGGTAGTACTAGGATGCGTACTTGGTGTGTTTATGCGTCCATAAACACACTTTAATTCAGTAGCAACATTATTTTTTTTTTTTAGGTTTACAAGACTGCAGGGGGATGAAGTTGTATGCTTTACCATAGATAACTGTCACAAGAAGAGAACCTGTTGTGCTGCTACGCTATCACACTGTTGCCACTCTCATCACAGATTTGAATCTTGAATAACTATCATTGCCTTGGAGACAGACCTACACAACAGAGTAGCTGTGGTCTGAAGCTTCAGACCTCACAGCTGAGGCCCAAACCACCTCCCCACTGGTGTAAATGTTTCATCTATTCATAGAAGTCACAGGACAATTAAGACCTAATGACAGGGGAGTAGCAAGGAAAACTTTCATTGACTGCTTATCATGCTTATAGTGACAATTATTAAACCAAAATTTTGAAGTCTCCTTTTCAAAGGACTTACAGAATGTGTATTTTAAAAGAAAATTGATAAAATATAATATCAACAAGGAAAAAACCACTAGGTAGTACACGCGTAAGTCATTGCAAAACCCAGTTGACATATTCTCTTTCATGCTACTCCATCATTGCTGGAGTCACTGTACCACAATTTTCAGAATTCATGACCATGTAAACCAATTCTTCTTGAACAAAAAAGTGTTTCCTCACATCAGTGTTTTAAATCCAGGAAACACCTTATTTGGTAGACAGATACTACAACTATTAGAATTTTATCATTCAAGATAAACACAAATGATTACTACACACTAATTTTAATACTGTAACAAACCATAGTCAGCAGGAGCAAGGCAGCAGGGCAGACATACATTGACATCAGTGGTAGCACCTGAGCAGTAGCCAGTATCATGTGAAGGCAGTTTACAGTGCATGGTACTTCAGTCGTAAAAGAACTGTAGGCAGTTAGTAAAGTCTGCGTGCAGTCTGGAGAACCAGCTCAACAAAATAAGACCTAAAAAATCCTCAATAATTTAAAACAAGTAATTTACTATTTTGCAAATTAAATAGAGTGAAAATACTGACTCTAAACTTAGAAAAAATTACTGTTAGAAAAAAAAATGTGTCTGTAATTGAACTTAGGATGTTTAAAAGTGGAATTATTTTAACTCAAAATGCATTTATTTTCATATGTATTCATGCCCCAAGAAACAGGTAACACCATCAGAGATACCCTGTGCATTAAATAAGGGTTTTTTTATTTTGGGGTGCAATCTTTAAGCAAAACTGACATATTAAAATACAGTCTACCACAGAAAATGTTTGCTGCCTCTTAACTGACCTTCTTGAGCAGTTGGAACCATCCAGGTTGTGGTAGCAGTTGCCTTTTTAACACTTTCCATCTCATTTTCATCTGTAATCACTTCCAGGGCCCCAAATTCATTCACTCTAAACTGTAAGACAAAACAAATGGCATGGGGTGTAGTAAAAATTTACTAATGCTCTCTTTTGGTGTCTTCTATCCTCCAAGACAGTTTTTACATGGTGTCCTCACCATATTATCTAATTTCTGCTTATCCCCAAGGAATTGGAAACAAGCCTTTCTTGTTTCTATCAAGCAAAATGCAAACTCATCTTGTTATCTAAAAATATTTATTTGCAATAGATATTGATACAGCTGCCTCCACATGCAGACCAATACCTAACTTTCACACAGGAATGAAAAAACCAGTAACAGAAATTAATGGGAAAATCTCCTAACTGCATGCTTTTCATTGCTAGCAAAACTGCACCCCAATCACTGAGTATTTTGTCAACAAAAAGGGAACTGAACTTCAAATACAAATGCCTTTCAGAGTACAGAAATTTCAGCATATCCTCTGAAAACACAGTACTTCTCAGCTGTGAAGTGCACATAAACAAACATCTCAAGGCAGTTTATGAGCCATTTAATTACAGGCTGAACGTGATATTACTGTCAGCCAGAAGCAAGGCTCAACAATACCCCACATGCTGTGCTTACACAGGAGCACCGGGAGTTATATCCATCCTGCTGCCAGCAGAAAAGCGTCTTCCAAATGCCGTAATGATTACAGTGCTACCAGATGAAAATAAACTTCAGCTTCCCAGTCACCACTTAGTTTGCAGGCCCAGCTGGTTACATGGATTGAACTGAAGGCAGCGTTTTGCCCGTGATAGTCTGCTCTGAACAGCGAAAGGGTGTAACTCTCTGAGCTTTGCCACAGAGGACAGGTCTCTAGCAGCGAGGTGCTCTCACCAATAGAGATCAACAGGAAAAATTCCACCTGAGAGTCTTTCAAAGCTCCCCAGCACTCCCCTGTGAGAATATTCCTTCGGGGCAGTAGCACGGAGCCTATTTCTGTTTCTCTGGTCAAGCAACTTTACCATGGAAAAATGAGAAGGGGAACAATTGCCTGGCACTACATTGATCTTCTCTGTGGCTCCAGAGGCTACAGGATGAATCACTCCCACTCACTTTGGACCCTGCTATGGCATAGTACCAAAAATAAGCCATTCTGACTGAAAGCAAAGGTGAGCCCCACAACATCCATACCACAACAGTGTGCTGTCACTAATATAGCCCTTCCAGCATCAGCATTTGCAAAGAGCCACTAGGTCCTAAGGAATGTGAGCAGGTTAGAAATAATAAGCTGAGGGGAGGGAGAGGAAGAAGAGAAGGACCTCACACAGTTGTATGACTTCTGGAGCCAAGATTTTTACTTGTGATTAGCTAGCTCACAACAGATACACAAGTGTGGACAAACTGTCGATAAATCCATCTGGACTGACAGACCAGGAGCTCAGCTTTGAAAGGCAACCCACTGCAGTAACACCACATGCTCACACTTGTTTGCGGACAGCCATTCACACTGTTCCACCCAAAGAAAAGAAGCAGATTTACCATTCAGAAGAGGATCCTTGTGTCTTACGGCTGGCTGACGCACCCAGCCTGGTTCCTATTTCGGTTGAGCTCATTTTTGCTATTGTGCTTTGCTACCTCTGCAATAGGTGGACACCAGGGAGAAAAACTTTTCTGCTTCCAAGAGCTCTAACTCTGCTCCAGCTGGCTCATCAAGCAGGCTGCGAGCACAGACCAAGACACGGTGCTGCAGCCCACCAACCAAAAGGTCACAGGGAGGGTTACTGACTGACTTCTGGAAACGCTCTCCTGCACCTTCATACCATATCAGCCGGAACATCCATACACCAAAGGTATTTCTGAACACTCCAATAAATACCTGTGATATTTCAGCATGATCTGATCGATGTTCAGCCTTGACACCACACGTAAGTTCTTCCTCCACTGGGGCCTCCTGTGGTACACAAGGACGTCACCCCTATCCAGTTCAGCAACCCACCAGCCCTTCTGGCTTCAGCGGGCTGACTGACAGGCATCAGACAATGAAAAACAGATGACTGCAGGGAAGGATGCTCCCAGGTACCCTTTCAACTGGAGGCTGCTCACAACAGCAAGAGCTGAACCGTTAAGGAAGCAGCTCTTCAAGAGTCAGGGCATCACACTAAGCTGGGCTCAGTGATGGAGAATAACCACTTGCTACTGCCTCAGCAGACAGGAGGGCACGACTATGTGACTGGGCCCGCTGCCTCATCGGACCTCAGTATCTCCCGGTTTCGCCCACAGGCTTGCCTCTGTCAGTGCCAGAGGCCTCCGGCTCCTGCTCAGACACAAACACGTAGCAGATACGTCTGCTTTTGCTCGCTGCTTCCCCAGGTACCATGCACACCAAGCTCTCCACAGCTGACCAGAAAAATGCCACAGACCTGGGGAGTCGTATTCTGGTTTTAGCTGGGGAGGAAAAGCAACAAAAAATTTATGACAGAGGTTAATTGCCTAAAAATGGGAAAAACAGATGTACAGAGCAGCATGCTGCACAAAGCCACCACAGGAGAAAAGCTGCCAGAGCAATGTGCCAACTAGTGTCTACTGGTGGAAGCATGACAAAAAAGGACCTAGACTAATGGTTGTTTATATGTCCATGAAAAAAATCAGTACTTTTGTAAGCCTCTTCTACCTAGAAAATAGGCTTTTTTTTTAAAAAAAAAAAAAAAAAAAAAAGTAAAAGTTGTGTCATCATATTTCCTCTATTTTTGGTGATCCAAGCTAAAATATAGCAAGAGCAGCCCTCCCTACATTTCCTGAGATTCTGGTTGATATAAAGAAGGAAATGGTCCCACTGAGCTAACTTCTGAGGAGAGACCAATAGCTTTCTGAGAAGTAGAAATTTGCTTCTCAGTCACCAAACTCCTTAAGTAAATCTATAAATTTGTATGGGGTGAAGGGATTTTCCTTAAACCTGTCTTCATTAAAGCAAACAGTAAAATTCCCACTGTTGGAAACAAGGTCAGGCCATTATCAAATACCTTTAAAATAATCTCACAAAGAAGCCTGATTTTTGTCACTTCAATGTTTAAAAGAGAATAATTTTTAAAGTTTCTTGGCCATGAATTTAATCCACTTGACTTTTGTCAAGTACCTGTTTGCAAATTTTAAGTAACCTCTTAAGAAGACAAAACTCTGTCCCACCTAATAGAACAAAAGGTCTTTCTTAAAAGATCAGAAGGCAGAGAAGAAGAGAAAGAAATCTCAACAGCTTTGATGAGCCTATCCACAGTAAGATAAACAGAAATAAATATAACATTTGAATAGAAAATTTAACTTTCGAAGTTTCATGTACAAGTGAGGAACAAGCGCAAAAACACACATTTTCAGCTATTGCAGTTCTTTTAACACAAATATATCATAAACTGAGATGGCAGGATGAGTCCAACAACTAATGGGTAAGTATACAACACAGAACTTATTTTAACTGCCTTGTTTAGCTGCTTCCACAAGGATCAAAAGGGAACTAAACAGCTGCTTCCATCTAAATATCACTGGAGATTCCTTCCCCTCAAAGGTGTAACACATTTTCACATTCTCAGGAAACAATGCCCTGACATACCAGGACTTCAGTTCATATGACTGTTAATTTAATCCCCAGGAATATTTTAGTATTCATTCAAGAAATAAAGAACACATTGAGGGAAATCAAGGCTTAAATAAATAATGATCAAACTTTATAAATACTTTCTGAACCATTTCTGTCTGTCCACATGGTAAGTTCTTCAATAGGGACAAAAATTATTATCAATAAACATTTTATTTAAAATTAAAATTGCATTAAAATTTACACAGGACTGGAACAAGTATCATAGGTCACTGAGACAAAGGCTTTGTTTATTGCAGGCGATAGTATCACACAAAGTATTTATAAATGTTTCATCTGCAACAGAGAAGCAGAAAGATTTTCTGTTACCAGTGCCTCTACTGAAAGCCTATTCCTGAATTTCTTTCTCAAAAAAAACTTCTTCTCACTCTTCATTTGTATCTATTCATAGTGAGTTTATACTCATTTGTTTTTAACGCAGCATTACCCTATGGATTACATAGCCCTAATGCCCTAGTGCTCACTCTCTGGGTATACATTTGAAGCAAGGAATTATGTACCCCCAAACTTAAATTTTATTAGGCGAAACACAAGCCACTTCTGTTCCTCTTATGAAAACAGTGCTCCATCTTCTTGATCCCATTCTTTGTCCACCATGTGCTGGGCTCAACCACGGAAATTCACTTTTTGTCAGTAAACCCGACTAAGCATAACACCACAGGTGGACTTCAGTTGTCCCTCCTCCAGTGGCTTTAGGACCTTTCAATTTCTAATGGAAGTTCTTTGCCTCATCATGCAGGCTGGAAGGCACTCTGTAGTTTTATGTAGGGTGAATTACATGTTAAAAGAGCCTTAAATTCTCTTTCTCCACATTTCATAAAAATAGTGTATTTTTCACTACGTGGGATAAAAATAAATTTGCAAACAATGCAAAATGTCTACCATATTGCAGATTAATCCCAGAAACTCAAAAATGTTGGGAAGAAATACATATGATGTAGTTTCAAATTAAGTCCCTGCTGTTGCAAATTTCTAATTCAGACCAACAAAGATCAGACTATCTCCATCTGCTGTTACTTGTGCTCTTTTTAAGAGCATACAAGATCTCATCAGTACCCATAGAGATCAGCCCAGAATAAAGGTTACTATTTTTTTCTACATGGTAAAAATATTTTTCGGCAGAGCAGACAAATACAACAGAAGAAAAGGGAAGAACAATTGAAGTGCAAAGGACTAAAAAGAAAAGCCCACACATCTTAATGCCCAATTTTAAAATAAATGAGAAAAAACAGTCAACACTACCATCTACTGGGCAAGGTAAGGACAAAGAGTCCATAGCACTAAATACAATTGTTGCTCCGTTGTAGCTGTAACTTCAGGAATAGAACTTATCTTGACCATACAACACTGATCATGGACTAGCTCAGAAGAAACCTGGAAAATTTATATTATCCAAAATAAAGTAAATTGAGCAAATGCTCTTC